TGGGATTCATTGCCTTTCTCTAACAGTTTTTAAGATTTTTTTTGTAATTTTTTTTTTTTAAACAGAGTCTCAGCTGGGTGTGGTAGCATATCGAAACTCTGTCTTTTTGTTTGTTTGGTTTTTGGTTTTTGAGACAGGGTCTCCCTATGTAGTTCAGGCTGGCCTTGAATTCATTGAGTAGCCCAGGCTGGCCTCAAACTCAGGGCAACCCTTCTGCTTCAGCCTCCTGAGTGTTGGGATTACAGGTGTGTGTCACCACACCCACCTCCTGTGATGGACTTCTGTTACTTTGAACATAATGTGGCACGGAGAGGTTCTCTTTTGGTCATGGCTATTTGGTGTTCTGTATGCCTCACTTATCTGTATGTTTATTTCTTTTTCTATATTTGGAGAGTTTTCTGCCATTATTTTTGTGAACAGGTTTTTTACACAATGTGTGCTGTCTTCTGATTTTTCACTTACTCTAGTTATTCTTAGATTAGTCTTCTTTGTGTCATCTAGCAGCTGTTGGATCCATTTTTCATGTTCTTTTATTGTTTTAAGGTGTCTTTGAGTAGATAGCCTTTGAAGGGACCACTGTCTTTTAGTAATGAAATCTTGTCCTCACACTGGTTGGTTCTGCTCCCCATACTTTCAATATGATTTTTAAACTCCCAGATTTCGGATTGAAACCTTGTCCTGGACTCTATAATTTTTTTCTAAACTGGCCATTCATGTTTTGTATCTTTTTATTTAGCTCATCTAGCTTTTTATTAGTGTCCTTTGAAAGCTCGTGCATCTTTTGATTATTACTTCCATTATCTGTTCAGTAATATCTTCTCTGATCCTCCTGATACCTCTTTCTTCAATTTTTTTGTTTGTTTGTTCTATGTTCTAATGTCCTCTATTATCCTTTTGATTAATTTGGGTGTGTGGCTTATGCTATTCAGCCCCTCAGTGCCCACTGGATTGGCTCGAGGAGTTGGAAGTTTCGGGAGTCATTTTGTGCCTTGCCTTCTCGTATTTCTATTGTTTTGTTTGTTTGTTTTGTGCTGAGGTTTGTGGATGCTTATAGTCTAAAGACTTTGTCGTCAGTATAGAAATCTTTTTATTTGCTTTTCTGTGATGTACTTTGGGTGCGGCTAACTATAATCCCTTGCCACAACCCCAACATCTGACCACCTTGATTATTTTGTTAATGTCAGAAAGGTAGTAATCTGAGTGTTGGTTCAAGCAGAAATAGTGACAGTTATGTGACTCTGTAAATATTAAGTGAATCAGCTACAGTATTATCATCCAAGACAAATTGGATATTGACATACCATAAGAACCAATTATGTACCACCCTTAATTTAGAGAAGAAATCTGCAATGGTATAAACATTAAGACAACCCAGGTACTGACTCACAGCTAATTTGTATTAAATAAGACAGCAGTATCTCCACTAATGGTAGAAAAGAATTCAACAATAATTTTACAGCATTAACTAACTGGGTGAATGCAAGAGGAAAATGTTGAAACCTTAAACTGTATGATATGAGAAGGAAGAGAGAGAAATGGTTAAAAACAAAAGAAAGAACGAAAAAGATCATATTGGGGTTTAGAAGGATGTTTATAGAATTAGGTAAAGTTAAGAAAAACTGACAAGAAATAGAAGATAAAAGAAAAAGGGAGAAAAAAGAAAATTACATAGAGGGTAAAAATAAGAGAAAGTGAAGAAAAATTAAAAGGGAGAAGAGGGAAAAATAAAGGAAAAAAAGAAAAGAAAAAGATGAGAAGCAAGGAAGAAAGATAAATGGAAATTCCCCAATCCCCAATAAACTGGTGAAAAAGAAAGGAGTAAAGGAAAGAAGAGAAAACAAAAACTAAAAACAATGCACACACTTACAAAAAATAAAAACAAAAAAAGAAATGTCTATGATTTCAAACATGTGAAATCTACAATTTTGAGGCAGTGTCCAAGTCAAGATATGGATAAAGGTGGCAGTCAGACCCCAGATCTGTGATGGATGCAGGCACCAGCAGGCAAAAAGATTAGGGCAAGGGTGTCAGTTCCACAACTTTGAAATCCAGAGTAATTCAGGCCAAGCCTGGCCTCTGGCCATGAGGGTGGGTCCTGTGTCCTTTATCTTAACCCACCCAGGGGGCTCTTGGCAGCCTAACCATAGCTTCCTGATCACGGCTGTCTCCCATGATTGTCCCTCACCAAGTCACTGTGGTAATGTAACACTGGGAACCCTGAATTCAAGGTATCCTGTGGCTGCTCTGAGTTCTGGGCTCAAACAGTCAACCCCTCCCTGGAATGGCTTCCAACCAAGCAGGCTGTCCAGGGTGGGGTATGGCAGGCCAGGCACTTCAACCAGCTGTTGAAGCTCACAGCATCTACCAGGCGTTCCACTGCTGTGTTTCTCCCTGAATCCCTCTGGAGTCCCCTACTCTCACTTTGTCTCTGGAGATTTGGTTTTCCCTTCCCTTCCCATGCACCATGGGCCAGCAGCTGGAGAGAAAGTGCAGATTGCCCCTTCCCTTCTCTGTGTTGTGTTCTGTCTCTTCAGTTTCTCTGTAGGTTTTAGTTTTCCTGTTAGATCCTTCCTGGTTCCTGGGAATCGCCTACCCTCTCCTCCCTCCTCCACCCCATGTTGTTATTTTCCAGTGTTTAGATTTTGAATCTCAGAGAGGCTGAGTTGTTGTTGCTTACTCACTCTGCCATTTGGCTGTTCCATTTTATAATCCCACCAGCAGTGTGTAAGGATTCCAATCCCCATATCCTTGCCAACATTTGTTGTTGTCTTTTAAAATTTTTGCTGTCTTAGTGGGCATGAAGAGGTGTCTCTGGGGCTTGATTAGAGGATCTTTTTTTTTTTTTTGTACCGGGGATTGAACTCGGGACCTTCCGCTTTCGCTTTCGAGGCAGGCGGTGGAACCACTGAGCTAAATCCTCAGCCCTTCTGGGGCTTGATTAGCATTTCTCTGGTGACTAATGGAGTTGAGCACCTTTTTACAAATTCATGGGTCATTTGGATGTTTCTTTGGAGAATGTCTATATAAACCCTTTGCCCATTTTAAATTATTTGTCTTTTATTGTTGAGTTGTAAGTCTTCTAGACAGAAGTTGCTTGCTATATACATGCTTTGTAAATATTTTCTCCCATTCCATGGATTCTTTTGTTTGTTTGTTTTTTGGCTTTTTTGAGACAGGGGCTCACTCCATAGTTCAGGCCAGCCTTGAACTCACTGTGTAGCCCAGGTTAGCCTCAAATTCACAAATCCTGCATCAACCTCCTGAATGCTGGGATTACAGGCATGTGTCACCATGCCTGGCTCTTTTCATTTTCTTGAAGATATTCTTTGAAGCACTGAATTTGCTTTTTCTGGGCCTCATACCGAGCTACATTCCTCAGACTTTGTTTGTTGTTTTGAAACAGGGTCTTGCTAAGTTGCCCAGGCTGGTCTCTAACTTGCAATTCTCCTGCTTCAGCCTCCTGAGTAGCTGAGATTACAGGCATGTACCACTGCGTGTTTTAAATTTTGATGAAACCCAATTTAGTTATTCTTTCATCATTTGTGCTTTTGATGTGACATCTAAGAAACCATTGACTAATCTAAGGCACAAAGATTTATACCCATGTTTTCTTCTAAGAGTTTTATAACTTTAGCTTTTATGTCAACTAAAATTCATTTTGAGTTAAATTTTATATATGATGTGAGGTAGGAATTCAAATTCATTCTTCTGCATGTAGGAATCCAGTTGTCCCAACACCATTTTGTTAAAGGGTTTTCTCTCCACTTCATTGTCCTATCATCCCTGTTGATAATCAAATGAAGTTTGGTAGGATAGTGCACACTTATATTCCCAGCTACCTGGGAGGCTGAGGCAGGAAGATCTCAAATTCAAGGCTAGCCTAGGCAACTTAGTGAAATTCTGTCTCAAAAAAATAAAATAAAGGACCAAACATGTTGGCATGGGCCTGTAATCCCAGCACTGGAGAGGTTAAGGTGAATTCAAGGCAAGTCTGAACTACGCACTGAGACTCTGTCTCAAGAAACCAAAATAAAATAAAAATTAAATTTTTTAAAGGCCGAGGAAGTAACTCAGTGGTGGAACACTTGCCTAGCATGTGGAAGCGCCTGGGTTCAATTCCCAGTACTACAAAGTAATTAATAAAAAATTTTAAATAACTGAACATAAATGTAAGGGTTTATTTTCTAAAATCTTGGCAGGTGTGATGGCATGTGCCTATAATGCCAGCACAGGAGAGGCTGATATAGGAGGATCGCTGCAAGTTCAAGGTCCACCTGGGCTACACAGTTAGTTTAAGGGCAGCCTGACCTACATAGTGAGACTCTGCGTCAAAAAATTTGGGGGGTCCGGGGATTTAGCTTAATGGCGCTATGCCTACCTCGCAAACACTAGGTCCTGAGTTTGGTCCCCGGTACCGCAAATAGAATAAAATTAAATTAAAAATTTAAAATATATATATATTTTAACAAACTCATTTCTATCCCATTGCGGGTCATTTTTTTTGCGGGGGGGGGTACCGGGGATTGAACTTGGGTCCTTGTGGTTGTGGAGCAGGCGATGAAACCACTGAGCTAAATCCCCGGCCCATAAACCTCTTCTCTTTTTTCTTTTTTTTTCTTTTTCTTTTTTTTTTTGCTTTTTTCTTTTTTGTTACTGGGGATTGAACTCAGGTCCTTGCGCTTGCGCAGCAGGTGGTGAAACCACTGAGCTAAATCCCCAGCCCCAAATGGACTTTTATTTATTTATTTATTTATTTATTTATTTATTTGGTACCGGGGATCGAACTCGGGCCCTTGCCCTTGTGCAGCATGCGGCTGAACCACTGAGCTAAATCCCTGGCTCCGCGGGTCATATTTTTAAGTGCTATTTTCCTCGGACTGCGCTGCTCTAACTCTAACAGAGATGAACAGAGGGAGAGATTTCCCCAAGCTGACTGCATTTCCTCAGCTGGGTAAGATCTGACTCTGCATTGGCCTCAGCATAACAGCATCTTCCTGCAGGATTCGGACCCTCTCCATAGCTGTGGCAGCAGTTGGGAAGGCAGCTGACTGAACAGAGAACCTTATCTCTTTCCAACCTCTCCCGACTATTGTAAATATCAAATTAAGTCATTTACACCCTTTGGAAAGATCTAAAATGCTATACAAATGTAAGGTATGTTTTTCCTATTATTTTTCCTTTCCCCTTATGAATAAGACCCTAAAAACAGAGAGAAGTTATTTTTAGCTTTTACTCCTCGGAATCAAGTTTACAGTGTATTATTGTAAATTCCAAATTAGGTTTTGCTATTCAAATAGTATTCTTGGAGGAGGTGGTGAACTTACACCAGGAGTGTGAATATGAATCTTGGCCTTCCTACCACATTTCCACATTCCTGCTTATTTATTTATTTACTTTTTTTTTTCTAGGGATTGGACCCAGGGCTTTCCACTGAGCTACATCCCCTGCACTTTTTATTTTGAAAAAAGGCCTGCCAGTAACATTCCCACTTCCTTGAATGAGGACCTACTTTGTGCCAGGCGCTATGCTAAACTCTGGGAGAACTGCGGAGAAAAAGTCAGACCCCATTTCGGCCCTCCTGGACATATGATATAGTTGGGAAGCTGTATAACTCAACAAGCCATTATAGTAAAACGTGACCTTGAGGGAGATAAAGAATGATTCTTCCAAATAGCCCTAGTATCAGTTTGCTCCAATGAACAAGATTAGAGTATCTCCCAAAGCCATGTAGCCTTTGGTTTTATGATTTTTCAGTAAAGTGGAGGTTGCTCATTGCTAAATCAGTTCCTCAGGGACCCAGTCTTCCATCCCTCTGGGTTTGGTCCTCAGGAGCTCTTCAGAGGCAAGGCTGGCCTCCATTTGAGACCCGCCGCTCCACCCCTTCTTTCCCCAGCCCCCTCCCCCTTGCTGTCAATGCAGTTTCTTTGCTGACAGTAGAGAAGCGCTCCCTGTTACAGGCTAACCCTCAGGCTCTTTCCCTTCCCCTCCCATCCCTCTTTGGGGCCCTGCAGGGCATCACTCTCAAAATCCCCCCATTCAAGCTTCCACAAGCAGAGAGATCACTTCCTCCCAGAAGGCAGCAGCTCATTCAGGCCAAGACCACGCCTACCCACAGCCCTTGAAGCTCAGAGAGCTACCTGCTAGGATCTGAGAGAACCAGTGTCGCTGAGAACCCAGCCCACCACATCAGGCTCACTCGCCCTCCTCGGAGCTCTTCTGAGAATAAGCATTCATCCATTCAGCCAGCCTGAAGTACCCCCTGGCCCCTGGCTGGTGTCCCCTGGTTCTCTGAGCCAAGCAGGGTGGGGGTGGTGTGGGGGGAAGTTGTGTGGGAAAACCACAGAGCAGAGGAAGGTGAGGAAAGCCAGCCCCCCCCAGCTGTCTTCTCACATTCTCAGCCCCCACTGCAGCCCCACCCCCTCTTACTGGGGATAGAACCGGGGGAGCTCAACCACTGAGCTATATCCTCTATTTTGAGACAAGGTCTTACCAAGTTGTCCAGGCTGGCCTTGAACTTGTGACCCTCCTGCCTCAGGCTCCAGAGTAGCCGGGATTACACCACCGGCTTCCCTACCACTTTCCCTACCATGTAATGACAACTCCCTGCCTCCATCGCCTGGGGCTAGGGGCAGCCACCCCACCCCCTTTCCCACCTGTCCTTCGGTACCCTCTCCTTTCACAAGGTGTCATCTGTCAGCTCAGCATGATCTCACTGCAGCACTCTGGGTCACACAGCCGCCTGCACATGCTCCATGCCGCACGGTGAACCCATCTGCGAGAAGCCAGGGTCCTCTGGGGGACACGGGCCGTGGTGCTGAGGACTTGGCCTCCACAACCATTCTCTGCATCAGGAAGACACCTCTGTCTTCCCTCCCGTGCCTGTCACTTTGAGGGACACGTGGAGGAGACAGAAAAAGACTGTCAGGGAGTGTGGAGACCTGAGATGACTTGGAGCCAACAGCTCAAACTGTCTGAGCTGTAATTTCTTCATCTATAAAATGAGGGGGCTGGTGTAATCTCTTAAGGCATTTTGTAGCTCTCAAAGCCTGCAACTGTGAGGTTCTAGCGCTCTACTGGGATAAATGTATGATTGCTTCTGCCAAGCGACTGACAGCTTGTGTCCCCAGCGGGTAGGGGGCAAAGCGCCTGAGCTTTTGCACCTCTGTAGCTCCCGCTCTCAGAACAGAACAGCCCCCTCCATGCCTCCCCCCGTTCAGGGGAGCCCCCCCCCCCCGCCCTCTCCCCGGGCCCCAGGTGAGCGGGCCGCTGACACTCGCAGCACCTAGGCAAGGTGCCTGCCAGGACCCGCCAGGCGACCCTTCTTCCCCGCGCGCCGCCGGGCCCGGTGAGGAAGCGGCGGGAGCCACGCTGACCTCATCCTGCTGCACCGCGGTGCGGGTTTCCGAAAGGGTGTCAGGCCGGGGAGATCAGTCAGTGGCTGCTGGCCCCGGGGCTGGGGCGGCGTAACCGCACCCTGAGGGCAGGAGGACAGGCTCAGGCTTCTCAGCCGGCCGCAGAAAGGGGTTCCATCGCCCGCTTCCCCCGGGAAAGTCCGACCGGCTCCTCCCCGGCCGGCGCCCCTGGCAGGGCGGGCCAGGAACCTCGCCCCCGCCCCGTTCGCTCGGCCTGCGCCGCCGGGGACTTTGGAGCCGAGGAGGAAGCGCGGCGGGGCGGGGAGGTAGGGGTGTGTCGGGAGGCGGTGGTGGCTGGGTTTTATAATCCGCAGGCGAGTGAGGCGCGGGAGACTGGGCAGCGCCGCGCACCGCGCCATGGGGGCCGCGCCGGACCGGCCCGGGCCCTGGCCGCCGCTTCCGTGGCTGCTGTCCTTGCTGCTGCTGCGGCCGGCGGCCCTGGCGCTCCAGCCCGAGCTGCAGCCCGGCAACTTTACGGCCGACGAGGCCGGGGCGCAGCGCTTCGCGTGGAGCTACAACTCGAGCGCCGAGCAGGTGCTGTTCCAGAGCACGGCAGCCAGCTGGGCGCACGATACCAACATCACTGAGGAGAATGCGCGGCGCCAGGTGGGCGCCCGGGCTCGGGAGGGGGCGGGGCGGGCCGCGGCGGCCAATCACAGGCCCGCGGCCTGGCGCCAGGAGCGGGCAGCAGGCGCCCGGGGCCCCGAGCGGACCCCGGCCCCCCGGGCCACCCGTCCCACCCTCTCCCCTTTCCGCCCATCAGACTGGCTGTGGTTCCCTCGCACGGGCTGGGCACGTGATCCGTGCCCAACACGGACACTGAATGGACGAGGCTGACTCCTCCGAGGCTGAGTCCCCCCGGGTGGCGGCGCCCACGGCTCGGGGCTGGGCAGCGACAGTTTTCACAGAGGGCTCCCCGCTCTGCTCTGGAGTCCTCCTCTTCAGGCAGCCGCTTAACTACCTCCAGAAGGGGTCACCTTGCCATCATCCCACCTCCCTTCTGGTCCCATTTCTGCCCCATAGCTTCCCCGGAGCCAGATTCCTGAGCTGTTCATCCTCCCTCTCCTCCTGGTACCCGCAGGAGGAAGCAGCCCTGCTCAGCCAAGAGTTTGCGGAGGCCTGGGGCCAGACGGCTAAGGAACTGTATGAGCCAGTCTGGCAGAACTTCACTGACCCAGAGCTTCGCAGGGTTATTGGAGCAGTGCGCACCCTGGGTCCTGCCAACCTGCCCCTGGCCAAGCGGCAGCAGGTGGGCCTGAGGGAAGAGGCAGAAGTGGTAGGGTGGTGGCGGAGGGAGCAGCCTGGCAGGGCAGAAGGGCCCCAGCGATTTATATGGTCCCTGGCTATAGGGGAATCTGGGAAGCGTAGCTGGGCTGCTGGAAGCACTGGCTTTCTTTGGCGATATGGTGGGAAGTTGCTTTATATTGAAGCCAGTATTATGGAGTAGAAAGACAAATTCAAAGGCTGGGAGTGTAGCTCAGTGGTAGAGCGCTTGTCTAGCTTGTGTGAGGCCCTGGGTTCCATCTCCAGCATTATACAAAGGGAGAAAAAAGCTAAATTTCTCCCTAGGCTAGTTTGCTTTAGGGGCTTCCCTTGAAAGGTTAAGGAGGAGCCGGGGATTTAGCTCAGTAGTTCCACTGTCAGCCTCGAAAGTCCAAGGTGGAGTTCAATCCCCAGTACCAAAAAAAAAAAAGGTTGAGGAAGACTGAGAGGGCACACAGACCAGAGGAGGAGAGATTCACCTTCACTGCCAGGTGGAGCTGAGCTGGGACTCTCAGGAAGGACACTGGCTCCAATTACATAGAATGCCCCCCAAGAAAGGGACATCAGTGGTCAGAAGAGCTCCCAGTGCCACAGACTGACTTGCCAGGCCACAGGCCCTCTCCAGGCTCCTTTTTCTTCCCAGCACAGAGAGGAGAGATGGCCAAAGTAATTCCAGGATCTGTTCATGGCTAACATTTCCTCCATTCCTACTCCCCAGTACAACTCTCTGCTGAGCAACATGAGCAGGATCTACTCCACAGGCAAGGTCTGCTTCCCCAACAAGACTGCCACCTGCTGGTCCCTGGACCCAGGTAGGACCCTGTCCGTTCTCTGCTGGAGTTTCCTAGCCCCTCTCCATCACCCTGCTGCACCCAGGGGTGTGGCATATTTACCAGTAAACCCAAAGGCACTGACCTCCAGCAGGGCTGGACTGTGCATGACCCCCACACCTCTACTTCCCCTGGCCAATGACTTCTAGAATCCCCATCCCCCCAGTCTCTCCCACCCCACTAGACCTTCCTCCTAGTTGCTTGGGTTTTCCTTTCATGGGTCTTCTTACTTTCCCCAAGAGCCTTCCACAGGCTCTGGACCCCATGGGGCTTCCTCTTGAGGTTAACCACTCCTTTCAGTGAGCCATGAAGAGTCTGTCTGGGTCTTGCCTCTGAACATCTTTTCTGTGTTAATCACCTTGGACATCATTTCCTTGGGGATAGGGGTCCTGCCTGGATGCTTGGTTCTTATAGCTCCCAGCCCCATCTCACCAAGCCTGTAGGCAACCCTTGGCTCTGGGGACATTGTGACGTTAAGGAAACTGTTGGGAATGATGAAGATCTATGTGCATACTCTGTTGAAGACTGGTGCAGACCTGGATGCAGGTCTCCTAACTGACCCTGCTCATCTGTATCTCAGAGCTCACCAACATTTTGGCTTCTTCAAGAAACTATGCCATGCTGCTGTTTTCCTGGGAGGGCTGGCACAATGCTGTGGGCATCCCGCTGAAACCCCTGTACCAGGACTTCACTACCCTCAGCAATGAGGCCTACAAACAGGATGGTGAGCCTCCCTCTCCCAAGCCAAGCACAGTAGCTCTTCCCAGCTTGCACAGTGCTCTTGTCTGCTGTCTCCCATTGAGCCCCAGCCCCTGATGCAAACAGAGAAGCTGATAGGATGATTCCAGAGCTGGCCTAAGGTCAAGGCTGGTGGAGATGGTGTGGTACCTGCGCACCATCTCCACCAGCAGCCACATACCTGCAGGTAGTGTGCCTTCCTGTGCTGCTCTCCTGCCCTCCTGCTGCTGCTTCTAGTTGTGCTCCCACCCTAGTACTCCTCTTAGCCTCTTCATGCTCCAGAATCTATTTAGCTGGAGCTTGGAGCAACGTGTAAGTAGAAATGTAGCACAGCAACCCCAAGCCATCTTTTCCAGCTAGGTGGCGGGTACAGGCTCCCAAACCAGGAGGATGGTGAAATTGAAGGTAGGAGGTGGAGGGCCAGAGCTTTGGTCCTGACCTATACCCTCCTGTCCCACCCTGATAGGCTTCTCAGACACAGGGGCTTATTGGCGTTCATGGTACGACTCACCAACCTTTGAGAAAGACCTGGAGCACCTCTACCACCAATTAGAGCCCCTCTACCTGAACCTCCATGCCTATGTCCGCCGTGCACTACACCGCCACTATGGGGACAAGTATATCAACCTCAGGGGGCCAATCCCTGCCCACCTTCTGGGTAAGGACTTGGCCTTGCCTCCATGCAAATCCCAGGGAAGCTTGAGTTCAAAGTGATGCCCAGGAGAGGGGAAGGTGGGTCATACTTCTGGTGTGTCTCACATGTGGAGCCATGTACATTCACTTTCCCACACTGGAATCCTGTGTGGCTGGTTTAATCCCCATCACTGACATTAGCATTTCTACTTTACAGAGGAGGACACTGAGGCTCAGGGTGCACAACTGATTGTGATTAGAGAGCCAGTAGAGGGCAGAGCTAGGTGTCAGACTGAGTGCTTTGGCCCCCAGTCCAGCGGAGGAGGCCACCTCATCCTTATTCATGCCCAAGGAAACCAGTCTGGTGCCCTACCTCAGGGGTGGGAGCCAGGGACCCTGGCAGTCAGAAAGGATGCTAGCAATATTGCCTGGGATCAGTCTTGGCAGTGGCCAACCCCTGGAGCGTGGAGCCCACAGCAGAATGGGGATGAGGTGATGCGTGACAGGCCTGGCCCTGAGCCAGGAGAGCTGCCCTGGAGGCCCCAGGGTGCTACTCAGTGACACACATGGAGAAGCAAGTATGGCTGGGCAGGGAGCCAAGCTCTCCTGCTCTTCTTCCTCCTTCTAGGAAACATGTGGGCACAGAGCTGGGAGAACCTCTACAACATGGTGGTACCTTTCCCAGACAAGCCCAACCTCGACGTCACCAGTGCTATGGTGGAGAAGGTAAGCTCTGAATGCAGAACCCAGGTTGGGATAATGAGAGGGAGTCAGAGATGGGGAGGGGGCAGGAAGGGTCAACAGTGAGATCATGGATCTGTGTCCATGGTGGTGGGGTGTGAGCACAGTTCACTTTCACTGATCTGCTGTGGTCAGTAGGGAAGGGAGGCCTCTGAGCAGAGATGTCTTTCATGGGCAGGGAGCTGCCCTGGGCTGAGGAAGCCTAGACCTGCTCCTAGGGAAGGCAGGGAGCCCTCTGGGCAGCTGCCCCCTGACCTGTGTCTACATTCGGCACCAGGGCTGGAATGCTACACACATGTTCCGGGTGGCAGAGGAGTTCTTCACCTCCCTGGGGCTCTCACCTATGCCTCCTGAGTTTTGGGCAGAGTCGATGCTGGAGAAGCCATCTGACGGGCGGGAGGTGGTGTGCCACGCCTCAGCCTGGGACTTCTACAACAGGAAGGACTTCAGGTGTAGATATGGAAGGAGCAGCATGCTGGGGCTCTGGAAGGGCGCTGCTGGGGCATAGGCCTCCCTCTACCTGCACTGGCTATGGGCTGGTCTGTTTTGGACATACGAACCCAGTAGGCCACTTTCTTTCAGTTTTGACTGCAGTTAACTCTGTACCTTCGAAGGAAGAGGAAGGCCTGAGTGATGTGGGCCGGGGCAGGGTCAAGGATTTGCTTGTTTCCAGCCACTTCTTCCAGGGCAGTGCCTTCTTTGGTCCTGTCCATCAGGAGCCTCAGCCTCTCCAGTTCTTGGGCTGCTGCCCTGCCCCATCATTCACCTCTTCCCTCACCCCTTCCATGCCCCAGGATCAAGCAGTGCACAAGGGTCACAATGGACCAGCTCTTCACAGTCCACCACGAAATGGGCCACGTGCAGTACTACCTACAGTACAAGGACCTGCCCGTGTCCCTGCGCAGAGGTGCCAACCCTGGCTTCCACGAGGCCATCGGGGATGTGCTGGCACTCTCAGTCTCCACTCCTGCACATCTGCACAAAATTGGCCTGCTGGACCATGTCACCAATGACTCAGGTAGGTACAGGTGTGTTGAGAGGACCCGGACTGGGTCCCCTCAACTCCCCTCCAGCTCTGCAAGCCCCACCCAGATCTGCCCTTTCATTTTCTGCTTCAGGGCCCAAAGGCCTGAGCCTCATAGCCCATCCTGAGCCCAGCGTTACCCCAAAATCCTCTTCTGAGCAGGGCCCCAGGTCTTAGGACTCACCTTCTGTGTCAACCCAGCCTTACCTCCCATTGGCTATTCCCCAGGCCTACTCTGGCCTAGTTGAACTTCCATCTGTCCTTGACCTCTCTTTTCTTGTCTCATCATCCCACAGAAAGTGACATCAATTACTTGCTAAAGATGGCCCTGGAAAAAATTGCCTTCCTGCCCTTTGGCTACTTGGTGGACCAGTGGCGTTGGGAGGTCTTCAGTGGGCGTACTCCCCCTTCACGATACAACTTTGACTGGTGGTATCTTCGGTGAGAAGGATGGGAAGGGCCTGAGCCCAGAGCCCTCCTAGCACTCCTGGGCAGCTGGGAACCTCCTGTCTCCGTCAGCCTCATCCTTTCCTCTAATGATATCTCCGTCCTCTTACCTAGTCCCTTCTCCCTGCCTGAAACTCTCTTCTACAGGAAGACTTTCCCACTTCTCAGCATGGGGTAGGGGTACCAGAGGGAGTTACCTTTTCTGTGAAAGCTCAGGCATCCTGTGTAAGCCCAGCCCTAAGACAACCATCTTTTTCTAGAACCAAGTATCAGGGGATCTGTCCTCCAGTGGTCCGAAATGAAACCCACTTTGATGCTGGAGCTAAATTTCATGTCCCCAGTGTGACACCATACATCAGGTACAAATGCCCCCCACTCCTCCTCTTGTGATCCTAGCTGCCCTATCCCCAGAGCTTGTCCCCTTACTCCTCTGTACCCACAAGGGCCCAGAATTAGAATAGCCCTCTCATCGGGTATGGTGGTGCACGCCTGTAATCCTGGCCCTCAGAAGGCTGAGACAGAAGGATCACTGTGACTTTGAGGCCAGCCTGGGCTCTAGTGAGTTAAATGCCAGCCTAGAATACATAGTGAGACCCTGCCTCAAAAAATAAAAATAACAAAACAAAAAAGAATAGTTCTCCTGAACTAGGCCAGCTTCTCCCTTCTGCCCTAGATAGCTCTGCCCAACAGGGTTCTGGAGAGTGCCTTGGCAGAGGACTCATTTCTAGCCTCTGCATCCTTCTAATGCTTATGCTGTGCCTGCAGGTACTTTGTGAGCTTTGTCCTGCAGTTCCAGTTTCACCAAGCCCTGTGCAAGGAGGCAGGCCACCAGGGACCGCTGCACCAATGTGACATCTACCAGTCTTCCCAGGCAGGGGCCAAGCTTCGGTATGTGGTGGGAAGGAGAGGGTGTGTGGGAGGCTGGCAGAGGCTGGCAGAAGGTAGAGATATCTGCACGCAACTGTCTGAGTCTGGACACCACAGGGCTGAACTGTTGTGGGGTGACTTAGCTCTCTCATCAAACACTGAGTGGGCCTTCAGCTACTGTGGAGTGAGTTTTACATCCCATGCTACCTTCGCAGAGATCCTAGGCCCTGGAATCTTATTGCCACTGCTCTTATAGCCAGTGGGGACCAGGTGGGTAGTGGGGCTGCTCTGGAAGTCAGCCTGTGTCTCCTATGCCCATGGTGCTCATTCTGCCTAACAGGGAGGTGCTGCAGGCAGGCTGCTCCAGGCCCTGGCAGGAGGTGCTGAAGGACCTGGTGGGCTCAGATGCCTTGGATGCTCAGCCACTGCTCAATTACTTCCAGCCAGTCAGCAAGTGGCTACAGGAGCAGAACCAGCGGAACGACGAGGTCCTGGGCTGGCCAGAATATCAGTGGCGCCCACCATTGCCCAACAACTACCCAGAAGGCATTGGTAAAGCCCTGAGTGAGGATGGGCAGGCACTAAGGCTAGGTTCCTGGTTGACTCTTCCCAGTTGAGCCCTGGCCCCTGTTCTGGTGGGGTAGGCAGCCCCTCAAGCTCATCAGAAAGGCCCTACAGTGGAACGGACTGTCTTATCCCCAGCATCCTAATGGGGGTGTTCTCAGGCTTGAGGGCCCCTGAGGGCAGACTGGCTGAGAACACTGTTCTATGAGGTCACACTGCAGGCTCCACTCTTATTGGCCAGGAGTGGTGGCTGCAGGTCTGTGCTCTCCTGCGGCCATGGACCAAGGTTGGGCTGCTCTAGGGATGCCTAGTCTCTTCTTCCTGTTACTGTGCTGGGGGCACCCCCTACTGGTCCCCAGCCAGGCAACCACCCACCAGGTGACGGTCAACCAGTGGATAACCAGCCAAGTGTCAACCAGAAACCAGACAACTCACCAAGAAACAACCAGCCAGAAAACACCCAAACAGACAACAACCCACCAGAAAACCCAGAGCCCAAGTGGGACCACAGGGAGAGGGCAGGGCCTTGAGGGAGTGGGGAGGCAGGGACAGCAGGTGGGGGCTGGAACTGTGCCCTGGAGAGGGGAAAGGGAGGCTTGTTTTCCTCTGCTGTGTCCCACAGACCTGGTAACTGATGAGGCTGAGGCTAACAAGTTCGTGGAGGAATATGACCGGACATCTCAGGTGGTGTGGAATGAATACTCCGAAGCCAACTGGAACTACAACACCAACATCACTGCCGAAGCCAGCAAGGTCCTGGTAGGAGCCAGAGCCACCTCTCCATCTTGAGCACACACACAGGCACACAAACACCCAAGGACACACAGATACACACACACACACACACACACACACACACACAGTTCAGGGCTGGCAGAATTTGTGAGATCTAAATGGAATATTTGAAACAATACTCAGTCAAGTTCATATTTGGCAAGTATGTACTCAATGCCCGAACAAAATTTCTTTCACTAGCAACCTGGTGACAGTGACTAGTAACTAGTAACAGTGACTGTAATTGGCTGTGCATAAGTAAGCAATGTCAAATTCACTTTTTAAAAGGTTGAAAGCTCCTGTTTGCTACCACCTTAAGGAATCACCCCTTGCAAAATTATTGGCCTTCTTCCCATTTCATCAACAGGATCTCCAGGCTCAGGGAGACCACACAGCTAACAGCAAGGTGCCTCCGTCCTAGTGGCCTTTAAGACACATTATAGGCTTCTTTTCTTTCCTCTGCCAAGACCTGTCTTGTTCAAATGTAGGCATCTGTTGAGGGACATACACTGCATCCAGGACACAGATAGCCCAGGCTGAAGAGGTTATTTATTGGCAAAAGTGGCAGTTGCCACCCTTATCACCACTCCAGCCCTCTCGCCCTCCCCCTGGGAGACTTCTTGCACAGAGGCTGTCCCAAACTTCCAGGACCCCATGACACCACCCTCTGTGCCCTCAGCTGCAGAAGAACGTGGAAGTGGCCAACCATACACTGAAGTATGGCACCTGGGCCAAGCAGTTTGACGTTAGCAACTTCCAGAATGCCACCACCAAACGGATCATAAAGAAAGTTCAAGACCTGGATCGGGCAGCGCTCCCTACCCAGGAGCTGGAAGAGGTATTTGGTTTGGAGGGAACAGAAGGGGAGGCTCCTGGGAGAGTGGGCCCTGCTGAAGGATCTGGCTTTCACATTGCTTCCTCTTTGATTTGTCAAGTTGTGACCTTGGCCATGTCCACAGGTGCCTCCAAAATTCCAGGGAAGGCAGCACCTCTGGGGAACACCATTCCCAGCACCCCAACCATGTTTCTGGGCCTAAACCACAAGAGCCCTCCTCACTGGGCCTCTTCTTCCCCCTGCAGTATAACCAGATTCTGCTGAACATGGAAACTACTTACAGCGTGGCCAACGTGTGCCATACCAATGGCACTTGTCTACATTTGGAGCCTGGTGAGAGCACCCGTAGGAAGATAAGAAACAAGCAGGAGCTGGGTTGCCATAGGAGGAGGTGCTGCCAGTGAAGGAGGAGTTGGGCTCCCCTAACTCACTTCCAGCTTCCCACCAGTGGGGCTTCTCTGCTCTCACCTAGAACCAGCATCTACTCCAGCCTTTCCCCTAATTCACTACCCCTCTTGAGGCTATCTGGTCTTAGGACTCTCCTGTCTCTCCTTTGTACTCTCTACTCCATCCCCCAAAGCAGCAGAGTCTCAAAGTTGCATTTTAAGGGCTTGGACTCCCCACAGGGAGAGCCAGAAACTCCAGCATCTGTCTTCTCCCTTCCTGACCCTACCCACAACTCCCCCCGCTTCCCCCAGCACACGGCTATAAGGAGACTGAGTCTGGGCAGGATGAGTCACACAGTCAAACAGCCCCAAGAAGCACTGGCCTTGAACTTGGCCTCTGATTCCAAGCCCGTGCCTTCCAATATCACCCCTTCCTCCCCTGCTACTCCCTGCTGGACAGGCTTGGACCAGCTTGGCCACCCCTCTCTCTCCCTCCCACATACTGGTCCTTCTTAGTTCATCCCCTTTGAAAGGGCTCACGCTGGACCCACAGGGACTCACACACATACCTTCCCAGTCCCTCCTGTCTCAGCCTTTCCAGGGCTGGAGATTTACAGGCATAAACATTCTCCATAAGGAATCTCCATGCAGAAACGGTTTCTTCCTGGCCCCCAGCCTGGCTCTTGTGTTAGAATAATGACAAATAGAAGGGGAAATGGAAAATAAACAAGAGAGAAAAACAGTTTTCCAGGGCGGGGTTTAGCCTGCAGGTGGTGGATGTGGGCACACACGCAAAGCTGGGGAAAGGTATGTGTACTTGCATGACTGGGTGGTGGCTGTTTATGGGGACGAGTATTAAAAGGGGTGTGGCATTCGGCACCCCCTCCACAAGGCAGTACCCTGATGCAGGGCTGGAGAATCTGATCACTGACTCAGTAAAACCAAGCCCATGAGGACCAAAGAATCACATTACCAGGGACCAGATGTGAAATCTCAAAATATACATTTTAAAAACAAAATTAATTGAATGTACTTTTTCTGTGAAAAGAAGACCTATACCATGTAACATGTTCCAGAAAACAGAAGCTTAAGTCCAACAGCAAGGATTTGGAGAATAGCAAATGCCTTCATCTTCCTTGGGCTCAGACTAGGGCCAAGGCAGGAGGGGAAGCCATCTTTCTGTGGGTCTTCAGACCCCCATGGCTTTTATATAACCCTCAGCCCAGGCTGTGAAATGGATATCAGCTCCTTGTCATAGTTAGAGAGTCCATACACTTAGTAGCTTTGACAGGATATAAACTCCAGGGTTTCCAGCTCCTTGGTGACACTCAGTTCCTCACACTTCTACAGTCTTCACAGCTACACTTTTATTAAGTCCAGTCCAGAAACAATTTGTGAAGGGTGCCCGGGGCTCTATGGGGGACACAGAGATGAGGCACAAATCTCTTCTCAGGGACCCATGCTCCTTTTCAATTTCTACTGTCCTGGGAAGGCTGATATTGTCCCCTTTTTACAAATGGGGGAAGAGACAGGAAGTCTAGAGAAAGGGAGAAAGAGAGCTAGAGCTAATTTGGGGACCAGCAGGAAGGCTGGAAATAGAACTTGGGTCTTTGGATGCCTGAGCCAATTCTCCTAGGGAGAGAGATGGGTGGGGACCAATGGCTCTGGAATCTGGTGCCTTTGGTTTGTGCCTCAGCTCAGCCACTTCCTGGTGGGGGACCCTGGCATGTCACCAAACTGCTCAAATGGAAGGAGAGACAAGCTTATCCCTCAAAGGGTTTCTGAAATACTATGTTTCTGAGGTCATATATGTGCAGCATATAACCCTGGCAGATGCCCTCTGAGCTCCTGGTAGTTACTGGTTCCCATTCTGTCGCCCCTTCTGTTAGGCTTGCTGCGTGTACACTCGCTTTCACATGATCTCACCAGTTTTTCTGCAGCTCTGAAATTCAGTGACCAAGTTCCCCCATAAGTAGGTAGGAGGAGGTGAGCCAAGGACTGAGCCTCAAGCCATTCAATCCCTCCCCTCTCAGATCTGACAAATGTGATGGCCACTTCCCGGAAATATGAAGAACTGCTCTGGGTGTGGAAGAGCTGGCGAGACAAGGTGGGAAGAGCCATCCTCCCTTTCTTCCCAAAGTATGTGGCACTGAGTAACAAGGCTGCCCGGCTCAATGGTGAGTCCCTCCTACTGGTACCACTGGCTCGCTGGTCCCAGTGGCCCTTGGGTTTCTCGGAGAGGTCCTCTGAGACCCTAAGCCTGGGGACAGGTAGATCCCTGGAGGTGACAGGGAGGTTTTGGGGGAATGGTCAGTTGTTAGGAGAGCCGGGCTGTGTCCCCTGTGCAGGCTACATGGATGCAGGGGACTCATGGAGATCCATGTATGAGACGCCATCCCTGGAGCAAGACCTGGAGAGGCTCTTCCAGGAGCTGCAGCCGCTCTACCTGAACCTGCATGCCTATGTGCGCCGTGCCCTGCACCGCCACTATGGGCCTGAGTGCATCAACCTGGAGGGTCCCATTCCTGCCCATCTGCTGGGTGAGGGTGCTGTCCAGCCCTGAGGAGGGGAAGATGGGCAACAGGATGAAGGTCGGGATGGGGCTGGCCAGAGAGCAGGAAGTAGCCCAGGAGAGTCCTAGAGGGAACAAGGGAACATGGCCAGGCTAGAGGGCTGTGGGGTACCCCCTGCTTACATTTGTTGCCACATTTGTGTATGTGTGTGTGTGTGTGTGTGTGTGTGTGTGTGTGTGTGTGTGATTTGGGGAACTGAACCCAGTGTCGTGTGTTTCAGGCAAGTGCTCTACCACTGAACTACACCCTACCCCTTTCGGAGTCACATTGGCTGCAGAGCCACATTGTACAAGTCGCTGTAGATGGTGAGGGTAGAACCTCAGGATCCTGTTAGAGGAAGACATTGCCCATGATGCTTCAAGGCAGCTGGATCTGGGGAGAGGAAGGGCTGAGAATGGAGGCTTGGGAGGTTCCTCATGAGCAGAGCCTTGAAAGACAGAGGTTTTGAGGAATAAAAAGTGAGGTTTGGGGCCAGGGATTTAGCTCAGTGCTTTCACCACCTGCTGCACAAGCGCAAGGACCTGAGTTCGATTCCCGGTACCAAAAAAAAAAAAAGTGGAGTATGGAGAAGAGGACACAGTGTCGGACCAAGGGAGCTACAACAAAGAACACTCTTGAGAATGTAGATCCACTTCAACCTTTGGACTTCCAGGGATTTGGTTTGGTTTGGTTTGATTTTTGTTGTTTTGCTTTGAGACAGGGTCTCGAGTGTAGTTCACTTTGGCCTTGAACTCACTGTGTAGCTCAGGCTGGCCTCAAACTCGCAGCAGCCCTCCTGTCTCAGTCTCTCCCACACCTGGCTTGAACCTCAGTTTTCCAGTGCTGCAAACTCAGTGCCCTGAATGCATGAAGAAGGCCATGAAGATGTTAAGAGATGGTAGGGACTGAACAGAAGTAGGGTCCCAGTTCTCTGTTCCTGTCAGGCTCTTCAGAGAACTTTTCAGGCCAGACAGGATCACAGACCACTTAGAAGTCATAAGGGAAGCTGGGCACTGTGGCACACATGTGTGATCCTAGCTGCTCAGGAAGCTGAGAAGGGCGGTTCACAAGTTTGGGATCAGGCTGGACAACTTGTCTCAAAATAACATTTTTTAAAGGGGGGGGAGGGACAGGGATGTAGCTCAGTGGTAGAGCACTTATGTGGACCTCTGGAACCCCAGTATCACAGACACATAAAACGTCATAAGAGAGACCCCAGAAGGTGGTCTAGGTATGGGTCTGTTCCCACTCAGCCCAAGAGACCAGCCCTCTTTTGTCCCTCTCTGGTGAGACCAAGAACCTGTGAGTGGATATCAGCTCAGTGACTGAGAAACCCGACCTCAGAAGGGAAGCAGTATGTCCTGGGATGGCCTGGGAACTGGGGAAGAGGTAGCACTTAGGACTCAGCCCCACGGCAATCAGCAAGGGAGGAGCCCTGAGACCTGTGCATTCATGCTTTGCGCTCTCTCTCTCCCTCCCTCCCTCCCTCCCTCCCTCTCTCTCTCTCTCTCTCTCTCTCTCTCTCTCTCTCTCTCTCTCTCTCTCTCTCTCTCTCTCTCTCTCGCTGGTAGGCATTTCAGATCTCACCTGATTTCAACTCAAGCATACTCTTCCTTGACTATGAAAGACTCCTAACTCCTTGCCTATTTTTGAACTTCCCACTCATTCTGAGATTCTTCCTCTTCTCCAGTCTTGAAGAACTGAGCTCTTTTCTTACCCTAAACTCAGAGACACTGACCTCTCCTGAAGATAACTGTAGTTGGCTCTTGTCAGTTACTGACAGGTGACCTACACAAACCAAACTTAAGAGATGTGGAGGAGACAGAGCAGGATGGCTAGTCAAGAGTATGGCTTGCCAGCCTTTACATCCAGCTGTGGACCTCTGGGGAGGTCAGTTTCCTCTGGTGTACAATGGAAGTCATTGCCTCCTGGAGGAAGGATTGCAAGTTAACATGCACAGTGTGCTTGGCACAGTACTCAGGAAGTGGTGGCCATATGGGCAGAGATGTTCCGGGGATCTGTAGATTTCTCATTTGTAGGATTCCTTCATTGCTCAAGACGGTGAAGACCAACTAGATTCCCTGATGACCACCAAGGTCTTCACCTTTAACTGAGGTTAATACTCTGGGCTGGATGTGCATAGTGAAGATAATGTATGTCAAACACTCAGCACAGTCTGCGAACAGTGGGTGTTCAGGCGATGCTGTGATTGGCAGGACTGGGATCTGGCTCCTTCCTGCAGGATGGCACTGAGCCCAAAAAGTCACATCTGTTTTCTCTCTCTGCCATCTCTTCCCCACCTGCCTCCAGGGAACATGTGGGCACAGACCTGGTCCAACATCTATGACTTGGTGGTGCCCTTCCCTTCAGCCCCCAAGATGGATGCCACAGAGGCCATGATAAAGCAGGTCTGTGGGCCAGGGCCCTTCTTCTCCATGGGCTTTCTGGGTATAGGGAAAGGGGAGGTCCCTGTCAAGAGGGGAGAGACCCACTGATTCAGCTCTTTCTCAGCTGCCTCCCCAGCAATTCTGTCCCTAGAGCCCCCAGTTTAGGCAAAACCCCTTTTGCTTGCAGGGCTGGACACCCAGAAGGATGTTTAAAGAAGCTGATGATTTCTTCATCTCCCTGGGGTTGCTGCCTGTGCCCCCTGAGTTCTGGAACAAGTCAATGCTGGAGAAGCCAACGGATGGGCGTGAGGTGGTATGCCATGCCTCAGCCTGGGACTTCTACAATGGCAAGGACTTCAGGTCTGTCCAGCTGGAGCCAGGGTGTCTTGGGCCAGGGGGCAAGGAGATGAGCCAAGTCAAGGCTCCATGGCTATTTCCTCCACTGGTAGTGAGCCAAGAGGACAGGGTCAGGGGCACAGTTTGGGACCAAGGATCAAGAGCATTAGGCTAGACTCTGGCTCAGACATTGGGCTTTTGGCAGGGGAAGTCCATCCACAAAATGAGGGTCTTCTCATGAGCTGGACAGTTCTGCCCACATGGTTAGTTTGGAATGTGCAAGGTCCCAGTCATGGTGTGAACTGTCCACCCTCCTACACTCAGAGAGTCCCCTACATGTAGCTGACCCCCTCCCTAGGTGTAGTCAGGGATGCAGGGACTCCTTACAGACCCTCTGTCACCACTGACAGATTGGAAACTGCCTTCAGCTGGATGGGTTTTTGTTAGCCACTGCTACATAACAAACCACCCACAAAATTTATTGATGTAAAATAACTGATGGATCATGCTCAAGATTTTATGGTCTAGCAATTCAGGCAATGCACATTGGAAATGGCCTGTCCCTACTCCACCATGAGAGACCTCAGTTGGGGTAATTTGTGTGTGTGTGTGTGTGTATGTGTATGTGTGTGTGTGTGTGTGTCTACATGTGTGCATACATGCATGTACTAGGGATCAAACCCAGGGCCTTGCACATGCTAGGCAAGTTCTCTACTACCGAGCTACATCCCTGGGATGGCTCATCCTGTGTTTGGGCCTGAGTTTGTTGATATTTCCCCATGGAACGTGTCTAGGGTAGAATGTTCAAGATAGCTCCTCTGCTCACATTTCAGGTGCCTGGTTGGGATGGTTGGGATAGCAGTTCCATCACACTGTGGCATTCTCAGGCTGGCAGACTTAGCCTATCAGCTGGCATCCTCAGAACAAAACCAGAAACAGCCAGGACTCTTAATAGCCAAGTCCAAATCTGGCAGAGTCCCCAGGCCAGCTGTGTTTTATTGGTTAAATCAAGTCCTGAGGATGACCCAGATTCAAGAGCAGGGGTCGGGGGGAAGACCCTGCTACTTGGGAGAAGTGGGAAAGATGATCTGCTACAGCTGATGAAATGTCCATTAAGAGAAGAATGGACACCAGAGACTGGAACCAAATCAGACAGGGTCCACTGGGCTTCCTGGCCTTGAGCCCTTCAAAAGCACAAGGACTACAGCTGTAAGGCTGAGGTAGACAGGATCAAGGGGGTGAGGGCTCTTGTGGGGATCCTCTCTGCAAGAGGAGTCAGAGGAGAAACTAGAAAGAAACGTATCTCATTGTGGCCGGGATGCTGGGCAACTCCTGCCCTCTGCCCTGGTAAGAATGGCAGAAAAATGAGATGAACCTGAAGTGAAAGGCTCTGTTTAGATCCTGCAAATGGAATTGGCTTCCAAAAGAGAACAAAGGAGGGGAGGGCACCATAGCTCAGTGGTAGAGGGTCTACTTAGAGTGCATGAGGCCCTGGGAGGGGGAGGGGGAGGGGGAGGTGAGGAGAGGAAAGAAGAGAAGGGGGTGCAGATAAGAGGGATGAAAACAAGGGAGGGTCAGCAGGAGGAGGTGGGACCTTCTGGCTCGGACAGTTCTGCAGCCATCATTCAGTCTTGGCCATAAGAATTCTTTGGTGTTGGGTCACATGAGATCCGTAGCCATTGTTGTCCCCTTTGAGAAACTTCAGTCTTGAGAGATAAACACAGGAAACCACAAGACACACATTCTAGAAAGTATCTAGAATGTCTCATTGCCTCTAAGGCAAGACTTCATACAGTCAGAAAGCCTGAGTGTAGGCCAGGGTTATTCATGAAAGCTGGGGGCAGAGGAGTGGCTGGAGTGACCTTACTTTAAGGGCTTCTGATCCCCAAATTCTCTCTTTCTTAAGCTCACTTGATTTCTCCTTACTATCTTCCTTCCCATCATGCTATGTTCCCCACGTACAGTGGTGGGTCTGCTCTGTGTGCACCATCATAACCTCTTTTTCTTCGAGGCCTTTTCTAACACCCTCTCTCCCTGCCCCTGTGTTCTCAGGATCAAGCAGTGCACCACTGTGAACATGGAGGAGCTGGTGGTGGCCCACCACGAAATGGGCCACATCCAGTATTTCATGCAGTACAAGGATTTGCCCTTAGCCTTTCGGGAGGGTGCCAACCCTGGCTTTCACGAGGCCATTGGGGACGTGCTGGCTCTCTCAGTGTCTACCCCCAAGCATCTACACAGCCTCAACCTGCTGAGTAGTGAGGGCGGCAGCTATGGTGAGAGGAATGAGGGATCCTGGTGGGCTGAGGGCCAAGAAGGAGCAGCAAGTTTGGGAGTGGGAAAGAGGCACAAAGTGGCCCTAGGTCAGAGGCTTTAGACAGCGCTGGGGAGGAAGGGGACCCAGTGAGGTGAGCCTGGGAGGATGGAACACACAGACCATCTCAAGAGGCAAGTCTCAGGACCAAAGAGGTACAGTGTCCTGCTGCCCTCCACCCATCACACACCCACCAAGGCTGAGCTGTGAAGGCCTGGCAGGAGGCAGGCACAGACCTGAGGCCATGCTCCCTTCCCTTGGCAGAGCACGACATCAACTTTCTAATGAAGATGGCACTCGACAAGATCGCCTTTATTCCCTTCAGCTACCTCATTGACCAGTGGCGCTGGAGGGTATTTGATGGAAGCATCACCAAGGACAACTATAATCAGGAGTGGTGGAGCCTCAGGTTCTAGAATATTCCAGTGGGAGTGGGGGTTGGAGGGGACCCCTGTGGGTATCTGTGTGCACCTCTTGTGTCTGTGAATGGGTTAGTCCAGTGGTGGTGAACCTACGGCACATGTGCCACAGTGGGCTGATTGTATCATTGAAAGCTCTGAAAGGTTCGTCATCACTGGGATAGGTGTGTGTGTGTGTGTGTGTGTGTGTGATGGAGTCACAGGGTGGTTGTGCACAGAGGCACTGCATGCAGGAGTACAGGATCCAGTGTAGCCCAGGCCAGAGACCATCCTTCATGTAAAATATGCAAGCCCTCCCCCTAGCTTGGTTCTCCTCAGGTACTTTCCAACATGCTTTCCCTCTTGACAGGCTGAAGTACCAGGGTCTCTGCCCCCCAGTGCCCAGGTCCCAAGATGACTTTGATCCAGGAGCCAAGTTCCACGTTCCTTCAAGTGTACCTTATATCAGGTAATGAGGGCAGCACCGTGGGGAACAGGGCCCATGGCTTCATGTTTAATTTGTTGTCCCGGGCTAGAGATTTAGCTCAGTGGTTCTGCCACCTGCCTCGAAAGTGGAAGGTCCCAAGTTCGATCCCTGGTACCAAAAAAATTAAAAAATTAAAAATTACACCTAATTTGCTGTCCCTATGCACTTGTCCTGGAGCTGCCCCACCAGACCTGTGGGGCTGGCACATGCCACCTGGCACCTGGGACCTCTCGCCTGATTCCAAGGCTTAGGGCTGTTCCTTTAAACATTCCCTTGATGGGATGAGAGTCGCTGCCATCCAGACAGTTAAAAACAGAAACTCAACCTAATAATTTGCTAATGGCTACCAGACCTGAGCTGGGTAGTTAACATTAACCGTGACACGTGGCTGGATGGTGACCTGAGCACTGTCTGGTTTTTGAAACAAGATTGTTTTGCTGTTGTTGACTATATCACCTGTGGCGTACTTTGAGTTGCACCTGAAAGACCTTTCTATACCCTAAAACTCGAGGCTAAAGACCCAATTCGGTTGGGAGACAGAGCTGTTAAGAGTGTTGCAGTTGATGGTTTAGGGTCAAAATGAACATAACTTTGTGTCCTTGAGCAACTTCTCCAGTCTGTGAACACCCAATTCCTTGCCTTGGTCCCCCTGGTGGCAATGGCACCATTGTTAAATCCTCTCTTAAGTGCACTGTGTCGGCACACTGACCTGTGAGTCATGCAGCCAAAGTGTGAAGCGGGCCATGGGCTACAGAAGGCACTTGCTGAGGGTAAGGAAGGATGGGTGTGGGATCTGGAGAACTTCCTAGGAAGTTGAGGGCTGGGAGACTTAGGGCAGAGTTCCAGGTATCCCAGGCCATCAGGGAATCAGGGTGCTGAGGACATGGAGGGCCTCTCCAGAGGGCTGGCACTGTGCACTGTACCCACCTTTCCATCCTGGTACCTGGCACAATGCCAACACATAAGGGCTAGATGAAGTCTGTTCCTCAGAGTCCAGGAATGGGAGCACACCTCACCTGCTCAGGGGACAGAGGAGCAAGGAAACTTATCCCTGGGGCACATGAGATAGGCCTGACCTGGATGGTATCCCAGAGACAACTCTCAGGGAAGGGCCTCTACTTGCCTGCTGGAGCCATTTCCTTTTCAGGGTTCCAAGCCAGCACTCACTGTCATCACCAGAGGCCAGCCTTGAGATGTAGGCTGGGTGCCCTAGAAACACATTCCACCTTCTGGTCAGCAACCCGGGCAAAGGACTTTGAGGAAATGCCGAGGAAGAGATCAGCACATGGCTTATGCCCAGTGTTGAAAGGGAGAGGCCTACACTGCTGGTCCAAACATTTAAAACCTCCAGGCTTAGCAAGGTTGCTCTGGCCTTGACTGGAAGATTTCTACCTGAGAATTCCTGCTGCTTCAAATAAGATCATTCAGGCTGGCTTCCCTGCCCAGACCACACTACCAGATCCATGTGGACCCTTTGACAGTTCCTAGCCTGGCCTCTACTTATTTATACACACCCCTAGGGTGGAGACATCGCTGCCTAAAAGCAGCCTGCCAAGTCTTGGGAGCCTTCTGCCCTGAGTGCCTCCCACTAGGGGCTGATGCCTGGAGCCCCTTGGGGAGGGCCTTCCCAAGAAGTGGAGGTGGCCTTGTGAGTGGGAGGCACCCCCACAGCCACAGCTGGGAAGGGGCTCTGAAGGCCTGATATCCTGACTGCATCCTGCTCTTCTGGTTCCCATGTGACTGTCATGGCCAGAAGGTACTGGATTTTCAGTGCCATAACCTCTCAGCCCGCTTCACTCCATGCCATGCCTTCCCTCCACTCCAGGTACTTTGTCAGCTTCATTATCCAGTTCCAGTTCCATGAGGCACTGTGCCAGGCTGCTGGCCACCAGGGGCCACTGCATAAATGTGACATCTACCAGTCCAAGGAAGCAGGGAAGCTCCTAGGGTAAGTATCTGCTGGTCCTCTTTTGACTTTTCACACTGCTCTGCTCCCCTCAGCCATGAGGAGCCCAGTGGGGAACTGGAGGCCCCTAGGCCCTGGCCTTACCATTCCTAAAGGAAAGTTTAGGGTGAGAGAGGGATGTGAAGGAGAATATCAGGCTGGGGAAAGAGGGGCTGGGTCGTTCTGACTCAGTTTCCCTTTCTCTGGTGCCTTCCCCAGGAACACCATGAAGCTGGGCTTCAGTAAACCATGGCCAGAAGCCATGAAGGTGATCACAGGTCAGCCCAACATGTCAGCCCTGGCCATGATGAACTACTTCAAGCCACTGATGGACTGGCTCACCACTGAAAACGGGCGGCATGGGGAGAAGCTGGGCTGGCCGAAGTACAACTGGACACCAAACTCTGGTATCATCACCCACCCCACCTCCAGCCCCAGGCCCAGCCCCCCGATCTTTGACATGGCTGAGCCCCTTCCCCAGTCCAGACAGGATCAAGTCTGACCTCAGAGAAAGAACAGGGAAGCCAGAGCCTATAGCCTCAGCCCACCCATCGCCCTGCCCACTGCCCTGTCTTCTTGCTTCCTCCTCGTCCAGCTCGCTCAGAAAACTCCTTCTCAGACTCCGGCCGTGTCAACTTCTTGGGCATGAATCTGGAGCCACACCAGGCCCGCATGGGTCAGTGGGTGCTGCTCTTCCTGGGCGTGGCCCTATTGGTGGCCACCTTGGGCCTCACCCAACGGCTCTTCAGCATCCGCCACCACAGTCTCCGCCAGCCCCAGTTTGGCTCTGAGGTGGAGCTGAGACACTCCTGAGATGACCAACCTGGACTGGGCTGGCTGGGAAGTGTCCACAAGAGACTGGCATGGGAATATGGTTGGTGGACCAAGAGTGTATCCCAGCACACTTCTTCCTCCCACCCCACCCCACCCCTGTCCTCCAAGCCACCAGCCACTCCAACCCTGGCCTCTTTCTCTGGCACCCAGTTGCTTAACATGGAGTTTTCTCCTAGTCTCTCTATGAATACAATTAAAGATCCTTCCCTCCCCATCTGAGTCTGTGTCCCTGGTGGGGAAGCCAGATTTAGGGGCAGGCTGTTCTCTCATCTCCTGGAAGTCCAGCTGGTCCCTTTTCTGGGTTGCTTCCTCCATCTTCCTCCAAGAAGAGCCTCAGAGAATCCACAGAGATCTTGCCCCAGTACACACACACACCCTGTCCACCCTCAGACTTGCCTTCTCACCAGCCCAGGCAGTTGGCTAGTGTCTGCCACATTAATTGGCCCCTGTCTGCCCGCATACCCACCCACAAGTACTGTTGGAGGCTAGGGTGCTGGCCTCACATGTTGTTGTGCTATGGGGGTCTTTCCTGATCAATGCTGGCTCTCTGACCAGTCATTCCTGTAAATGGCCAGGTTCCCCAGAAGGAAGGCACCTGGATGTTTGGCTGTGGGAAGGTGAGTGCCTTGAATGAGCCTGACTTACTGAGAGTACAGAATGGTCCAGTGGTTATCTTGGGCTCTGTGTCCACTTGCCTAAGTGGACATCCTTGGTTCCCAGACAGAACCACTTGAGTTCTGTGAAGTGAAAAAGACCCTGGACTGGAGCTGTTCCTCAGGAGTAGAGCATCTGCCTAGCACATGCCGAAGACCCCAGGTTTGAGCACCAGCCACACACAAACAGAAGAATAGGCCCTAAATGCTGGAGCGTGGCTGCAGCCAGTGCCCACAAAAGGTTAACTGCCAAAGGCTACCTGCTTCTCCTCCCCAGCACACACATCCTCACTTTGAGTTGCCCCTTGGGAGACCCTTGTATGGATGTGGGGGAGTGTCATTCTGAGGGACATTTTTATAACTTTTATCTACATGTTTATGTAGGAAATTTGGAAAACTATAAAGAAAAAAGCCCTTTATAACAACATCAAGAGATGAGTACCATTGACATTTTGGTGTGTATCTTTCCAGCCCTTTTTCTGCGCATATTTAAATGGAATCACACTATATTTGCACTTGTGTATTCTTTTTTTAAATCAGATAACATGACTTGATCTAGTTTTCAGATATTTAAACACCAAACCTGGAACTTGGCCAATGGAAGTCGGTCAGTTTTCTGAGGCCAGAGGCTCCACAGCCAGCCTGGCCCCCTCTATTAGAACCTTTGGGCCCACCCCCTTCTGGGCTGTGCTGATGTCTTGACTCTGGTAGAGTTCATCCCCCACTTCCTGTCCCCCAGGATACTTAGCCCACAGTTTTTGCTCGTGTATGTGGGTGTGTGTGTATGTGTGTGTTGCACACAGGCGTGGTTGTGCATGTCTCTTTCGTGGGGCAGGATATGGAGTTGAGGAATTTTGGATTTGCAAAGGGTGGAAGTTTACCATTCAGTAGGACAATAGAACTTATAAACACAACCTCAAAGTCATTCCAAATTTCTACAGTACACCACAGACCTCTTTAGTTAGCCCTCACCCTTCCCAGCCTATGTTTTGAAAGCTTTTTGTCTGCTGGACAAAGGACATGGTCGCATAACCCTTTACTATTTTTAGGAACTTCAGAAGTTTGCGCTGTTTGCCAGAGCCTGTGGGCAGTGCGAGGTCACCAGCATTCAACATCCAGAGGACCCAGCTGCAGGATGAGGGCACAGAATTGTGTTGGCCTGATCAGACTTATCCACTTGATTTTTAGTATTATTGTTGCTGTTGTTGTTAGTATTGTATGTGTGTTTGCATGTGTGTGACTAGAAATGGAATCCAGGGCCTTATGCATGTTAGCCAAGCCACTGAGCTATGTCTCCAGCCTTTTTTTTTTGGTACCGGGGATCGAACTTGGGTCCTTCCGCTTGCAAGACAGGCAGTGGAACCACTGAGCTAAATCACCGGCCTGTCTCCAGCCCTTTTAAAATATTTTTGGGCTGGGTGTGGTGGTGCATACCTATAATCCCAGCAGTCCAGAGGATGGGGTGGGAGGATTACAGAGAGTTCAAGGCCAGCCTTAACTACATAGCAAGACCATAACAAGTCTAACTAAATTGCCCTCACTGGCATTGAACTTGGAATCCACTTGCCTCAGCCTCCCAAATAGTGGAAATTACAGGCATGTGCCACAGTACCCACCTATCATTCAAGGTGGCAGAGGAAGATGTGGTAACACAGGAAGAGGGCCGAGCCAGTTTTCTTTGAGTATCCCTGAAGTCTGAGCCTTTCCCCATGCTGCACCTACCAAGGCTGCTGTCCAGTGACCTGCTCTTACCTATGCCACAGGTAGTGTGGATCCTGGGCAGTTCTCTGATTCCTCCTCCTCCTCCAGCTGCCCACCCCACCCACCCTGGCTTTCACAGAAGTGAATCAAGTGGTTTTGGACTAGTCCTGAGGCCAGTCCCACCTCTGAATTTACTCTCTGTGTGACCTTGGGCAATTTACTTCAGGTTTCTGAGCCTGCATTCTTTGTTTCTTTTTTTTTTTTTTTTCTTTTTTGTCTTTGTTTCTTTGGATGAGACAGGGTGTTGCTATGTAGCCCAGGCTGTCTTCTAACTCTCAATCCTCCTGTCTCAGCCTCCTCAGGAGTGAGGATTACAGGCATATACTACCATGCCCAACTAAAATGTTTCTTATAAACCCTTTATGCAGGGCATGGTGGCACACATCTGTAATCCTAGCACTCGGGAGCCTGAGTCAGGAGGAACTAAGTTTGAGGACAACCTGGGTTACAAAGCAAGACCCTGCCTCAAAATAAAAAATTTTTTTCAGTACAGGGGCCTGAACTCAGGACCTTGTGCTTGCGAGGCAGGCATGGCACCACTGAGCCCTCAAAATAAATTTTTTTTAAATGCCAGGGATGTAGCTCGGTGGTAGGGTAGTCTAGGTTCAATCCCCAGTACAGCAAAAAATAAAATAAGCCCTTCATGATTGCTGCAAAGATGACACGAGATGGCATGGGAAGTACCAATGGATGCTTTCCTCTCTTTATAATGAGTGCAGTATCCCCTGGTGAAGACATTTCATATCTGCCTCATGCTTCAAAACTCCCCAAGTCCCAGAGGAGAGTCCTGCAAGGTCAGTTCCTCCCTTGAGAGACAGAGAAAGCTGAGCAGAGTGATTGGGTGAGAAAGCTGGATGGAAAACTCAAGTTTCTCCCCACCTTCCAGCAACTTTCAAGGTTGATTGCCTTCTTCTGGAGCATAAGAATCTTGTTCACTTGGCCCCCATAGCTTGTTTCAGTTCTGGAACGCTGGACTGGCATCTCTTAGTGCCATGGTCCTCGCGTTCACATTCTCATGTCCACATCTGCATCTTGGTCCTGTTTCTCACCCAAGCATCCAGTGATTTTCCCAGGCAGTAATTCTGCTTTTCAGCCTGCTGTTAACCCTGCCCACTGAGGGTTTTGGTGTTCTAATTTAATAGCCATGGTTTTCATTTTAGCATCCTGTGTTTTCACAAAAGCCTATTTGTCCTTCCTGGATTCTGTTCCTTAGTCATTTTAAAGATCTGTGTTTTTTTAAAATGGTAGTAAAATACACATAACATTAAATTTACTTTTTTTCCCTTTTTTTTTCTGCACTGAAAGCAAATCCAGGGCCTTGTGTTTGCTAGACAAGTGCTGTACCACTGACCACTGACCTACATCGCTAGCCCCCAGATTTACCATTTTAACCATTTTAATATATTATCTACATATTTTAGTCAACACATGGTACCATTTTAGCCTTATTTATTTGGTACTGGAACTTGAACCCAGGGCTTATCGAATGCTAAGCTCTGTACCAGTTAGCCACACCCTCAGCCCTATTTTAACCATTTTAAGTGTACAGTTCAGTAGCGTTAAGTGCATTCGAATTATTGTGTAATCACCACCATCCAGATATCTCCAGAAATTTTTCATCTTCCCAAACTGAAACTCTGTACCCATTAGGCACTCCTCATTCTCCTCTCCTCGTGGACCCCAATAACCAGTGTTCTATGTCCTGTCTATGAATTTAACTACTCTAGGGACCTCATAAGTGGAACAGTGTACTACTATTCCCTGTGTGTCTGGATTATTTCACTCACCATAATGTGTTTTTTTTGTACCGGGGATCAAACTCAGGTCCTTGCACTTGCGCACCAGGTGGCAAAACCACTGAGCTAAATCCCCGGCCCCACACCATTATGTTTTTAAGGCTCATCCAAGTTGTAGCATGTGGCAGAATTTCCTTCCTTTCTAAGTAATATTCCATTGTAGGGTATATACCACATTTTCTTTCTCCAGTCATCTGTCAATAAACATCTGGACTTACAAAGGCTATTGTGAATAATGGTGCTAAGAGCACTAGTGCACAAATATCTACTTGAGCCCCCTGCTATGAATTTTTTTGTATGTATATATAACTGGGTCATATATTTAATTTTTTTTTAGCAATTTCCATGCCTTTTTCCAGCGTTACAGTAACATTTTACATTTCACTAGTTGTACACAGTTCCAATTTCTGCAAATTCTTGCCCATTTTTGCTGGTTTTTTGATAATAGCCATCCTAATGGGTGTGATGTGGTATCTCATTGTGGTTTTGATTTGCATTTCTCTAAGGATTAGTGTCACTGACCATTTTTTAATGTACTTCTGAGCCCTTCATGTATTCTTTAGGTAGATGTCTATCCAAACCCTTTTTCCTTTCATTGTTCTTTGGATGTTGATTTAGAGGAGGTTTCTTTGGTTTTGTTTATTTGTTTGTTTTTAGGTACTTGGGAATGGGCTTCAGACTGGGCCACACTGCCAGCCCTTTTTATTTTATTTTTTTATTTTGAAGCAGGCCTCAAATTTGTGATGCTCTTACCTCAGCTTCTGGAGTAGCTGGAATTATACCCCTTCTCTGCTAGAAGAATTCTTTATCCTGGATATTAATCTCTTATCAAATATCCAACTTGTAAATATTTTCTCCCATTATGTGGATAGATTGTCTTTACTCTTTAATTTTTAAAATTTTTGTGTTTTGTTTGTTTGTTTGTTTGTTTTTTGGGTTTTGGGGGCTTTTGTTTTTGTTTTTGTTTTTTTGGTACCGGGGATCGAACTCGGGATCTTGTGCTTGCAAGGCAGGTGCCAGAACCACTGAGCTAAATCCCTGGCCCAAAATTTTTGTTTTTATTACTAGATGTTTGTATTACATGATTACATTCATTGTGGGGAGTTGGTACATGTACTGATAGGGAAAAGTTTTAGATAACTTAGTAGACTGAATATTAAGGTAGTTGTAGAAGCAAAATAAGTAATACGTTCCTTTAAGATTTGCTTTATCCATAACTCTTGTTGTTTGAGGTGATGGGTTATCTGACTCTTTAACCATTAACTTCATTAACCTAACTAAGTTGCAATGGCTGGGTGAATTTATAATGTATACGTGCCTATCTTCTGTCTGTGACTTGTAAATAGGAACTGGAATTATATTTACACATCAAAGACCACTAGGGATGAGATAATGGCTAAAAAGGATTTAAAAAGGGAAATGCTGAACAAGGGGGCATGCAGATATTAAACAGACCGGTTTCTGGTGGTCCTGCCCAGCTTGCAAGTAGAAGTTTTATTATTTTACCCGAATTCTGTATTTCTTTCCAAGATTTTTGGAACAGTACATAAGACATCTTAGTTCTTTTTTTAATCCCTTTCCTTCCCCTCATTTTTCCCTCCACCTCTTTGTCGCCTTCATTTTTGCAAAATATCTATGTCCCTGTTTCCTATTATCTTTTGTTTTGTTTTTTACTTATATTTTGGGTTTCTCATATAAGAGAAACTATGTGATTTTTAAGCTTGCATATCTGATGTAGTTCACTTAACACTATGATCTCAAAGTACATCCATTTTCTTACAAATGACTCAAGTTTATCCTTCTTTATGACAAGGTAGTATTCTATTGCTTATAAATGCCACATTTTCCTTATCCGTTCATCTGTTGATGTACATATAGGCCACTTCCAAGATTTAACTATCATAAGTCGTGCTGCTATAAACATCAGTATGCATGTATCACTGTAATATGATGTCTTTGACTCTTTTGGGAAGATGGCTAGAAGGGGAATAACTGGGTCAAATACAATTTCTAGTTTTAGTTGTTTGAAGAATCCCCATACTGATTTCCACAGTGGTGTACTAGTGTACATTCCCACCTACAATATAGAAGGTTTCCTTTTTCCTTGCAACCTTGCCAGCATTTGTTGTTATTTGATTTCTTAATGATAGCCATTCTTTCTGGAGTAAGACAGAGCTCATTATTTGTGTACACAAATGCTATTGATTTTTGTGTGTTGATTTTGTATCCTGCTATTCTATTGAATTTGGTTATTGATCCTGGGAGTCTTTTGGTAGATTTGTTTTAGTCTTCTCTGTAGAGAATAACATCATCTACAAACAATGATAATTTGACTTCTTTTCTACACATATCCCTTTTATTTCTTTCTCTTGTCTAATTGCTCTGGCAAATGTTTCAGACACTGAACATTTTTTGAATAGGAGTGGTGAAAGTGGGTATCTTTGTCTTTTTCCTGAATTTAGAGGGAAAGCTTTCAGTTTTTCCCCATTTAATATGATGTTGGCAGTAGTTTGTCGTAAGTGGCTTTTACCAGATAGAGATAAGGTCCTTCTATACTTATTTTCTTAAGAGTTTTTTTTAAATCATGAATTCATGTTGGCTTTTATCAAAGGTTTTTTCTGCATCTATTGAAATGATCATGTGATTTTTATCTCTGCTGCTGTTTAGTGATGTATTATATTTATTGATTTGCATATGTTGAACCATTCTTGCATCCTTGGCATGAAGCCTATTTGGTCATGATGTATGATCTTTTTGATGATTTGTTGCATTCTATTTGTCAGTATCTTGTTGAGGATTTTTGTGTCTATGTTCATGAAAGAGATTGGCCTGTAGTTCTCTTTTTCAGTTGAGTTCTTGTCTGGTTTTGGAATCAGGGTAATACTGGCTTCCAAGAATGACTTTGAGAGTACTTTTTCCCTTTTAATTTCATTAAAGAGTTTGAGGAGTACTGGCATTAGATCTTCCCTGAAGTTCTTGTAGAATTCAGCAGTGAATTTATCCGGTCCTGGGCTTTTCTTAGTAGATAGGGTTTTATTACTGCTTCCATTTCATTGCCTGTTATTGGATTATTTGGTTTTCATATTTTCTTGGTCCAGTTTTGGTAATTCATATGTATCTATGAATTTATTCATTTCTTCTGGATTCTCCAATTTATTGGAGTACAGGTCGTCAAGTAGTTACTAAAAATCTTCTAGATTTTGGCAGTGCCCATTGTGATTTCACCTTTTTCATTCCTAATTGCATTGATTTGGCTTTTTTCTTTTCCTTTTTTTTTTTTTTTGTGGTACCAGGGATCAAACTTGGGACCTTGTGCTTGCAAGGCAGGCGGTGGAACCACTGAGCTCAATTCCTGGCCCCTTCTTTCTCTTTTTGATAATATTGAAGGATTTTTCTATCTTGTTTATTTTTTGAAGAACAAACTCTTCAATTTATTGATTCTTTGTATTGTTTTTAGTCTCAATTTTATTAGTTTCTGCTCTGATCTTTATAATTTCCTTCCTCATATTAGCTTTGGATATGGATTGTCCTTGTTTTCCCAGGAACCTGAAGTGCGTCATTTGGTTATTTATTTGGGCTTGCTCTGTTTTTCTGACGTGGGCAATCACAGCTATAAACTTCTTTCTTAGGATTGTTTTCATTGTGTCCCATAGGTTCTGGTAGTTGTACTGACATTATTGTTTGAATCTAGGAACTGTCTAATATCTTCCTTGATTTCTTCTGTGACTCATTGATTATTCAAGAGTGTATTCTCCAAGTGTTTTCATAATTTCAGTGGTTTCCTTTGCCATTCATTTCTAGTTTCAGTGCACAATGATCCGATAATATGTGTGGGATAATTTTGATTCTTTTGCATTTACTTAACTGTGTTTTATGGGCTAGTATGTGGTCTATGTTGAAGAAAGTTCCATATGCTTCTGAGAAGAATGTGTATTGTGTTGAATGGAATGCTCTGTAGATAGCTATTAAATCATTTTCATTGAAGGTTTGGTTCAATTCTAATATTTCTTCACTGATATTTTGTCTAGTTGATCTATTTGTAACAGGGGGTATTGAGGTCCCCCACTATAATCCTGTTGATGTTTATCTGATCCTTTATGTTCAGTAATATTTGTTCAACGAAGTTGGGTGTAGTGGTGTTTGGTGCCTATATGTTTATAATTGTTATCACTTCCTGTTGAACTGTTCCCTTAACTAATATGTAGCGACCTTCTTTAACTCTTCTGATCAGTTACTCCTGCATATTTTCCAGTTCCCATTGCTGGAATATTGTTTTCCATACTTTGATTTTTAGTCTATGAATGTCTTTTTGGGTTAAATGTGTTTTTGTATTCAGCACACTGTTGCATATTGCTTTTGATCTATTTTGCCAATCTATGCCTTTTGATTGGGGAATTGAGACCACTCACATTTAGAGTTAATACTGAAAAGTATTAATTTTTCCTGTCATTGCTTGATTTTCCTGTGGCTGATTTCTCTTTTTTCCCATTCTGCTCAGCCTGCCTGATGTATTTATTCTAATAGACATTTTTGCATTGTTGGCTTCATTTTCTCTTTCTTAAATACCCTTCAGAATTTGGGGGGGGAGGGGCAGGGATTTAGCTCAGTGGTTTCGGTGCTTGCTGCACAGGTGCAAGGACCCGAGATCCCTGGTACCAAAAAAAAAGAATTGTTTTTGGAGTGCTGGCTTGGTGGCCATGAATTTCTTTCTTGTTTTAAAAATTCTTTTATTGGTACATTTTAGGTATACAATATGTTTACATTTATCATTGGGTGCTTGTACCTGTACATGATGTATCTTGGTTCTTATTTTTTCCCCCATTACCTGTGCATCCATCAGCCCCTCCACCCTTCCATATTTACATAGACTTCGTTTCCATTTTTTTTCTTTTCTCATAATTTTTCCTTTCCCTTCTTTCCTTTCCCCTTCCCCTCCCACCACCCCTATACCTTTGGACCTTTTCCTATTTCAAATTATCAATTATTCATTTTAATCATTTTAATCCCTATTTACACTTTCAGTTTCTCACACTAGAGAAACTATTCGGTATTTACATGTGTGTGTCCTACTTACAAAGCCATCTCCCAGCTCCCAGCTTGATGAAGGTGTTGCTTCTGCCCCATTAGCTGCCCAATCCACACACCAGTGCCACAGCTCTATGGATGGAGGCACTGTAACCTCCCATGTGGCCATAGGGCTTCAGTCCCCACTTGCTGCCACAGGTTACCTCTTCATCTCTAGCAACTAAAGAGTCTCCTTTCTTCCTCTCCAGTTCAGCTCTGCATTTTGTATTTTCAAAATCTTATGTTTTATCAAACATGTCTTCAGGCTTGAAGCAGGAGAGATTTTTCTGTGAGCTCAGTTGATCAGTTTAACCAGACACATTACTGATTTCTTTCTTCCTTTTCTTGTATTTCAAATATATTTTGACCACAATGGATCATATTTGGGGGTTATTTGGTCAGTTTCTCTGGTCATGATGTCAGCCCATGTGAAGGAGTGGGTAGCCCTGGGCTAAGAATGATACATGGTACAGGGAGTCTGTGAGTAGAGGAAAACAAATCTGAGAAGGAATGGAGGACAGACGGGACTGACTCCCTGGACCATACCTGTCAGAATAGTGGGGAATTACCAAGGGCTGGCAGAAGACTGAGGCTTGTGATTGATGCTGAAACCAGACTCAAGTACTCATGGACATGCACTCAACCATTTACCTCCACACCCTACATATCCTTCTACTTTGATGCCTCCCTTGACTGCACATGCATAATGTCTAGCTTTCTCTGAAGAATCAGGTCTAAGGGTAAGAAGAGAAGATATGCCCTGCATAGCCCCAGGGATGATCACATGTCCCACGAGAGAAAAAAGGGAAAAATGTGAAAATAAGAGGGCCATTTAGAAAAACCTGAGGAAACAACTAGGTTTCCAGAGCCTGAAGACCCAAAAATGCCACTTCCATGCACCCATCTATGCTCCATCCATCCATCCATCATTCCACCCATCTGCTCAGGGACAATCCCAGCCTTGGAGGGAAGGGACTCATCAATCTCTGACTAAGGTCCAAGAGTGGCTCCAACCCCAGGGAGAAGTAAACAAGAAGAATAGAGAACTTCTGTCCGAAAAGTCCTGATCTCTAAGTTCTCCTCTTGGCTCTGTAGCTTGACCATTCTGGATATCAGAGGTCTCTTTATCTAGAAAACAGGGACAGTTTACCAAAAGGTGGGTGGGGGCTTTCCAGATCTAATATTCCATGCCTGACCCTTTAGCCACTGATGTCATAATATGGAGCTCACTCATGATTGGCCCATAGCTTCCCCCAGCTCTGCTGTTCTTTTGGTCATGGGAACAAAATGGACTCCTGGATCTTCCCTACTTGTGCTCCTCTACTATGGGCAGCTCTTTCCTTGGCTTAGGATTGTGGGTGATCCAAGCTTAGATGTGACTAGAAATCTGAAGGGGCATGGGACCAGATAAGGGTTCAGGGTGGGGACAGCCCCCCCCCCAGGACCACATGATGCCCTTCCTGGAGATGTGTACTACTGAGACAAAGCTGTTCCTGAAGTTTTATGATCAAACAGCCAAGATTGTGTTGAATCAGTTCACAGAGGCCACTTGGAACTATGTCACCAGCATCACCAAGTCAAATCAGGAGGAAATAGTATGGTACCACCTTCCTGCCCTCTACTCTTTTCTTCCCTTCCTCTTCTCAGAGGTTATTGGAGATTAGGGCCCAATCTAATACCTCCTGACCCCTATCTAGACCTAGAAGAAAGAGGGAAGCCCCAAAGCAGCACATGTTAAAGTGGGTTGCAAGCTTCCAGGCCTCTTAATTGCCTCGAACTTGTTCCATGTAAAAGTCTCTTGCTTCTCCCTTTTTAAATCCTTTCTCTTTGCTTCTAGGAACCCAGGCTTTTCTCCCTTATTCTCTTAGCAAATCTTCAATGATTTTGGACCCTTAAAATGGGAATTGTGAGTGGGAAGGGGAGTTATGTCCCTGGGAATTCAATGTGGGACATCTATCCCCTTTACCAGTCTGCCATAACAAATATGGTGACCCTTTTTCTAGCTGCTGAAGGAGGTAGAGAGGTCCCAGTTCATGATATACTTTGGCACCTGGGCCCACCTATTTAAGATTGCCCAGTTCCAGGACACAGCTGTGAAGCACATGCTGAGTAAGCTGCAGGACATAGGCAAGGTGGCCACCTTGCCCCAGGACGAGCTCTGGGAGGTGATGGACAGAGCCCCAGGGCTCCAGGGACACCCTCCCTACCCCAGGGATGGGAGGGTCGTGCCTGGTGGGGAGCCAGTGTCTGGGGCAGGAGGTGGATTGGCAGAGCAGAAGCAGAACTTCCTCTAGGGGAGGAGGGTGGGTGTTTCAGCCATACCCATTTCTTCTGGTTTGTGGGGCTAGTGCTGGTGGCAGCCCAAGGGCACAGGCCTGCCCTGGGTGAGACCTGTCCCCCCAAGTACAACTAGCTTCTGTCCTACATGGAGACGACATATAGCAGGGCCCAGGTGTGCCTGGATGAGGGGCCCTGCATGCCCCTTGAGCCTGCTGAGTGCCCAAGCCCTGCCCCTTCTGTGGACCTCCCAACCCCAACTGTGCTCCCTTGCTGGGGGAGGTGACCCAGGGTGAATGAGGGCAGAGATGGGAGGGAACGGGGATCCCATGTGACTCCTTTTCTAGGCACAGATCTTGAAGAAATCATGGCCACCTCCAGGGACCAGAATGAGCTCCTGTGGGCCTGGGAGGGCTGGCGGGACTCTGTGGGTCACATCCTCCGCCCCATCTTCTGGCGCTACGTGGAGGTCAGCAACAAAGCTGCACAGCTCAATGGTGAGCAATCTGGACATGACATGCTCTCAGGCAGTGCCCAAGAAGGGGAGCAAAGCTCAGTCTGCAGAGGGCCCAGGAGGCACAGGACCCTGGAGAACGGAACTACAGCCTTGTAGCTGAGCCCCACAAATATCAACAGAGTGCCTACTGTGTGCTGGATGCTAGGGAGGTTCTGAGGCTATGTAGACAGATCCCTGCCCTGTGGGCTTGCAGTCCTGTAGGGAGGTACCATAATCAGGTACACCTTCATCTTTAACACCACTTATGATGATGCCTCAGAGGAAGAAGCTGCTGAGGGAGGAGATGAGAAAAGCCTCCAGCATTTACCCATTCCTGAAACATGGCCAACAGCAGACAAGCAGGAGGCAAGAAGCATCCTGGGCAGAAGCCTCACATTGGGATGGAGGCAGAGTTTTGGAGAATCTGAAAGAAGCCCATGTGGCCACAAGCTTATGGTTGAAGGAGTGCCCAAGCTGGGTGACAGAGGAGAGGACTTTGCACAAGTCACTGTAGATGGTGGGGGTAGAACCTCAGGATCATGTTAGAGGAAGACATTGCCCATGATGCTTCAAGGCAGCTGGATCTGGGGAGAGGAAGGGCTGAGAATGGAGGCTGAGGAGGTTCTCCCAGAGCAGAGCATTGAAAGACAAAAAGCATTGAGGGATGAAACGTGGGGTATGAGGAAAAGACAGGGTTTGGACCAAGGGAGCGACCCCTCTCCTGTCCTAGGCTACAAAGACATGGGAGCTTTGTGGTGTGCTAAGTATGAATCAGACACCCTGGAACAAGACCTGGAGCAACTTTACCGAGAGCTGCAGCCGCTCTACCTCAACCTGCATGCGTATGTGCGCCGCACCCAGCACCGCCACTGTGGGCCTGAACTCATCAATTTGCGGGGACCCATCCCTGCCCGTCTGCTGGGTAAGGGCCCGTTGGTGGCAGAGGGGGGTACTCAGTCAGCGGACAGACTGTTTTCACCTCCTTTTAATCCTTCCACTCTCCTTTCAGGGAACATGTGGGCTCGGTCCTGGGTCAAGATCCTAGACCTGGTCCTGCCTTTCCTTAAGAAGCCCCTCAAGGACATCAAGAAGATTATGAGAAGCCAGGCCAGTGCTTGGCCCCTGGAGGCCCCTATCCTCGGGCCCCCGGGGTGAATAGGGCAGTGCACATGTACTCCCCCTTCCCCGCACCCCTGGAAGCCTGGGAAAGCAAATTCTTCACCTCCTTGGGGCTGTCTGCCCCACCTGATTTCTGGAAAAAGTCAGTGCTGGAGAGGCCGACTGATGGGCAGGAGGCGGAATGCCAAACCTCTGCCTGGGACTTCTACACTGGCGATGACTTCAGGTACCTGCAACCTACACAGCCTGCAGCCAGCACTATACTTCCACGTCCCCACCCTATTCCCCATTTGCCTATCTTAGGCCACAAAGGCAAGGAATAGGCAGGGGGTGAGCCCGGCCAGGGGAGGGGGGATGTGAGCCAGAAGCACAGAACAGGAGGCGGATGTGAGAGCCATGGTCTTGGTCACTGATTGGATATGGAGCCTGGAGTGGGGAAGGACAGCAGCCAAGGCCCTGTGGGCTCCAGCCCATCCACGCCAGTTCTTTAAATGTATCTGAACGAAGAAGTATCCCAATCTTCCCAGGGCATTCTCAGGCTCTTCATCCTTACCCTTTAACTCTAGGATAAAGAAATACACGGAAGTGACCATAGGAGACCTGCTCTCCATCTTCCACCAGATGGGTCATAACCAGTACTTCTTGCAATGCCAGAACCCCCCTGTAATCTTCCATGAAGGTGCCAACCCTGCTTTGGGGGATGCTGTGGGATCAATAGCCACTCTCTCTGCCCCTTCCCACAAGCACCTGTTCACCACAGGCCTGCTCAGCCTCCAGCTCCAGGACTCAGGTGGTGGGGATCAAGGGGACAATGGGAAGGCAGCTTGAGGCTGGGGCTGCCGCTTGCACAAGGGAGTGCAGGGGCTATCCAGGCAAGGCTAACAGAAGAGTGAGCCAGGAGCTACCCCCTGATTGCCCTGACCCCATCCCAGAGGAGGAAATCAACTTCCTGCTGGGCATTGCCCTGGAGAAGATCGCCTTCATCCCCTTCAGCTATCTGGTGGACGTGTTTCGCTGGAAGGTCTTTGATGGCACCATCCAGAAGCACATCTACAACCAGGAGTGGTGGAAGCTCAGGTGAGGAAGGTGGCTGCCCTGTGCTCTTGGCTCCATCCCCACACCTGGTGTGAGCAGAGCTTGACCACCCCTGCCAGACAGTGCTGTTTACTTCTTTGAAAGCAGAGTGGGGCTGCAATGTTGGTGACCCTCCAGCCTAGAGAAACACCAGGGCATTGTGGGATGTTTGTGGTCACCAGACAAAAGCAGCCATGCTGTAGGGCATAGACCCAGCCAGCAAAGGCAATCCTGAGGCCTCATTCTGAATCTGGCACCAGCACCGAGCAGGTCTCTTAACCTCTCTTGGCTCATCTGTGAAAAAGAGATCCTGGTAAGCTTCCCTTCCTCCCTGGTTGGCTAGGAAACTCTCATCATGTTTGCAACTGAGATTCTCCAAGAACAGAACACTGACCACCAAGCAAGCCCCTTCACCTCCCTTCCTTCCTTCTCCCCACAGTGAGGCCAGGAAGACAGATGAAGAGAGCCTGAGTACTTTCCCTCCAGGAAAGAGTCCCCAAGGAGGGAGGCAGGTGCACTGCCCTCAAAACACAAGCATGCCTGCCAGAGGCTTAGCATCCCCAAGCTGACAAAGGAGCCCACCAGCAGTCAGGCAGGGCCTTTGATTGGATATTAAATGCTGATGACCAGGGCTCCTCCATATCCACCAGGAGTCAGACTGACCAGTTTAAGGCTGCTGGACACAGGATAATATGAGCTACCGTGTGAGGCCTGCAGCCTCTGTGTTGTGCTCATTCAAAATGTTCACCTCCCAGAAACATCAGCCAGCACTCACAGAAGCCACATGTTCAGTCCGAAGTCACACCCCAGCAGTGGCAGGGCTGGGTGCTACTCCTCTTTTGTTCCCCCACTCCCAGCCTGTGATTTCAGGTGCAGGTCTCACCGGTGGAGTCAGCAGAGTCTTGACTGTGCTTCGTCCAAGAGCACTCCCCCTCCCCACCCCAGCCATCTGAGGCCTCTACAGGGAACCTTTTCCTTTTCTACCAACCATGCCCACTACCAATCAGCCAGCGAAGCCCAGGGCTGAGTGAGGGCTGGCAGCTCCCTGGGTCTTGAGCAAGGAACCTCCAGAAGATCCTCCCAACAGTCTGCTAACCCCAGGGGGTGGTTCAGAGGTACCAGTGAACCAACAATACAACAATGAGCCTTCCCGTAGACTGTCTCATCCCAAAGATGGGTCATTTTATGCCCATTTTACAGTCATTTTATAAGAAGGCTCAGTGGCAGTCAATCCCATGATCTCCCACAAGAGCACAGCTCAGAGGAACAAAAGCAGCTTCAAGTACTCAGTCTGCCAGTGACTAGTTCTGTGTTCTGAGACCACTTCCATGATCTCGAAATCTTGGCTTTCTCATCTGTAAAGAGGGCACAATAGTAGTAGCATGCCACAGGGATGTTTCTCTGTTCTGTTCTTAGCACTATTTACTAGATGAAATTACCTGCTTATTGTTTATAATCTGTCCTCCTTCATTAGAATGGATGCGAGCAGCGACCTGGCCTTGCTTGTTTCCTCTGTGACGCCTCTCCAGAGACCAGGCCTGTGTTGAGAGAACACAGGGGTCCTGAGCACAGCTCAGAGAACGGAGGAAGTGCTCAGTCAGTGTTAACTGCTGTTATGGTCTCGTTCCAATTCCCAGGCCCAAGTGTCTTCAGTTATTTAATGAATGAAAATGTATCTAGTGTTGTCTGCATGCCAGGTCCAATTTTGATAAACACACAAGTGCTTTGGAAAAGAAAATGCTCTGAGATCCTTCAGATGCCTCCATCAGGACCCTGTTTTTCTCCTTTCAGGTTAAAGCACCAGGGGCTGTGGCCACCTGTTCCTCGGACAGAGGATGACTTTGACCCAGGTGCCAAGTTCCATGTTTCTGCCAGTGTGCCCTATATTCGGTAAGGTTTGGGCCCAGTCAGCAGAGTCAGCTCTGGGTAGTGGGGTTTGGGAGGTGTGGGATGAGGCTGAGGATTTCTAGCAAAGCCTTGGATCCAAATGCTACCCGGTCCTCTGCCTACCTCTTCCTATCAGATTGCACAGCCTTCGTAGGTCTGTGCCCTGGGATCCTTTGAGCTTTTCCATTAGATCCTGTGTGAAGGGCAGAGATGGTGGGAATATTCAATCTAAGCCATCCCTGCTTCCCCCAGAGGAGAACAGGAAAGAGGGAGATAGGGTTGGGGTGACTGTTGGTTCACAAGGCTACACAAGGAAGGCCCTCATATTCTAGGGGCAACTCAAGGTAGGGCCTTGCCCAGCGAGCCTGCACCCAGGTGGTGACTGCTGTCATGCACCCTGTGGCCACTGCAAACTGGAGCTGCCTGGCCTGAAGTGGCTTGGGGCTTTTCAACCCTGATCTCACCTCCCTTGTGTTCCAGGTATTTCCTTAGCTTAGTGCTCCAGTTCCAGCTTCACAAGGCACTGTGCAATGCCTCAGGCCATGTAGGTCCGCTGCACCAGTGTGACATCTCTAGCTCCAAGATGGCTGGGAAGATCCTGGGGTGAGTGGTCCCCTCCTTCATTTGTCCTCAGCTGCTCCATCTCCCTTGTAAGGAGCCCTGCTCAAGGCCCCCTCTCCTAACCCAGTCACCCTAGGTTACCTGGGCAGAACTTCACTGAGTTTACATTCTAATACTAGATCTCCCTCCTGTCAGACTGCAGTCTTTTCCTACATGAATTGAAGCACAGTTCCTCTTGTTGAGCACCTTGTGTTCAGCCACTGTTGGGCCCCTTCTACTAATACATGTGCGCACGTGCACACACACACAGAGTAAATCAAACTGTCCCCCCTGCTTTGTGGCATTATGTGTTGTCTTCTTTTCTTTTGGTCTTGAAGCAGACTTGGAGAGGCTGGGGAACCTGAACTGAATGTACAGAGCACTTCTTATGACATAGCAAGCTCTCTGATATGTTTCGTATTAGTAGTGCTTAACTTTGCAAAGTAAATATTATTATCTGGGTTTTACAAATGATAAAACCAAAAGTCAGGGAGGCCACAGGATTGTTGTGTCATTAATGTAGCAAGAAGCAGTCATGCTTTGGACCCAGAACTGACTCCAAAACACATTACCTTTCACACTGTTGCCTCCATCAGTTAAAGGATACTGGCTCTGGTGAGATTAACCTCAAGTCTACTCCAACCATTGGGATGTGCTGTCCACCCACTGATGTGGTCTTTTTTCCATTGATTTCTACTAATTTCAATGTGTCTATTTCCCTAATTGGTCAAAGTTCCTTTGAATCTTACACCTACCTCCCAGAGGATTAAGAATGCCACATAAACCCGAGTTCAATCCCCAATACCAAAAGAAAAAAAAAAAAAAAAGAATGCCACATAATTTAGTGTCCTTTGCATACTTAGTGAATGTATTTGTGATTCTACCGTGCAATATGCCTGTAACCAGAAAGCCAGATGGGGCTGCAGGACTGGTTCCCTGGTCTTTACTCACAGGCCGGGACGCATCTTGCATGACCAACATCTCCTCTGTCTATTTGCTCTTCTACCCTTTCACTCTACGGGGGTGGAAAGCTAGCTGATTCCTAGCTTTGAGCTTTTTTGAATGTATTCAATATAAAAGCACCTCTCTACTCTTTACATTCTTGTCTCTGGCTACCCATTATGTATTCATTCAGCAAAAATTTACTTGTCCCAATGCTAACCAACCACTTTGAATCCAGCAGGAGGAAATAGATCATGAAATAAATAAATTCCATAATTCGAGAAAGGTGTGGAAGCAGTAGAAAAGGCTTTGACTGAACAAAGAGGGTTAGGAGGTTGTGCTTGAAGACCAAGGAAGGATTTCTGTACTCAAGAAATAGCAGATGTCTGTTTTCTTTTTCTTTCTTTCTTTCTTTCTTTTTTTAGTGGTACCAGGGATGGAACTCAGGACCTTGTGCTTGCAAGGCAGGCAAGGCACCACTGAACCAAATCCCTGGCCCACTGGATATCTGTTTTCTTTACACCAACTCACTTTAATACCTACTTGGTGGGCCATTTGACCTCAGCCATTCTCACCACTTCCCTCCTCCACCCCACCCGGGGTTTATAGGCCTTTCAAGGTCTGACTTGGCTCCAAAGCATATAGCCAGTCATCCTTCACCCTGCTCACCAGTCCCCCTACGTTGCCATATGGACCCCTGATCCAGGAAGACCCTGAATCTCCCAAGATTATAACCTTAATCACCATTTTTCTGGCCAGTGGACAGATGAAAGGCTTCTGAGAAATGAGGATATTGTAGGCATTGGAGAAAGTGAAATGGCAGCAAAGTAGAATGTGGGCTAAGCAAGGGAGAAAGGGCAGGTGGGGGGTCAGGAGAAGCAGGTGTTGCTCAACCTGGCTGGTTTAGCCTGCTGTACAGTACACTAGTCACTGAAACAACAAGCATTGTAATAGAGAAAGTTTGTTCTTGAGGATGCCAAGAATTAGAAAGGTTACCCAAATCTCATATCCACCTCCCCAAGGAGATGACATGGGGATATTCATGAACTCAGGCATGGGATAATTGGAGATTAACTAAGTGTAGGTGAAGGGCTGGGGAATGTAGCTTAGTACCTTACCTAGCAAGCATGAATCCCTGGGTTCAATCCCCAGTACCACACACACACAAAAAAGTCAGATGGGTTCATTCAAGAGGATTTATTCAGGGTTTCTCTCAGTTTCATAGAAAGAAGAGAATTTTGGCTGCTCTTTTGCCTTTAGTGAAATAGAGTCTTGCTATGTAGCCCAGGTCAGTCTCAAAGTCCAGACTCAAGAGATCCTTCTACTTTAGCTTCCCAAGTATCTGGGACCACAGGGGGCATATTACTGAACCTGATATGGCTAATGTATCTTAAAACTTGATTTTGATACCTTTAACTCATCCTCCTAAATGCAAATACCCTGCCCAGGTGTTGGGAATGGAGAGCCGAAGTGGGCCCCATTCAATTTCCCAAAGTCCCTCTACCTCTCCCAGCCAGCTGTGGTGGGTGGGTCTGGCTTTGTTCATGGGCCTGTCATTGTCACTTCAGAGTTGGGGGTTCCAGGCAGTACCAGCTGCCAGCTTGGCAGCCTCAGGCCTTCTGTGCCGTCTACACCAGCAGCAGGCTGGGCTCAGGTCACACATCTTGCCCCATTGGCCTGTAGTCTTGTTTCTAAACAGGTAGATTTTCAGTGACTGAAGCTTCCCTCTTCTAGTTTTTTTCCTTTCATTCAAGAGCCAGCATCTGATAAAACTTCTAGAGTTAGTCACGGACTTTGTTTTTGCTTTTTTTTTTTCTTTCAATCTTGACAACTTTTTACCTTAATTTCTCAGGGATCCTAACTACTACATTTTTCTGCAATAGTGTCTGCCAAAGGAGGCTGGGGATTTAGCTCAGTGGTTCCGCCACTCACCTCACAAGCACAAGGACCTGAGTTCGATCCCCGGTACCAAAAAAAAATAATAATGTCTGCCAAGAATCTGCTAACCTTTAGCTTCCCCACCTCATTCTTTCCTGGTTATTTATTAAGTGATGTAAGTCTTTGAAAGCTACAAAGTCCTCCTCAGTCACTATGTGATTTAATCCTTACCATGGGGAAGTATTCATAGAGCCCATTTATTGAAGAAGAAATTCAGTCTAAGAGAGGCTTTAAGTTGTATGCCAGAAGTTACAGAGCACAGAAGTAGCACTGCTGGGATTTGAATCCAGATTCAAATCCTGTTAGTCCCTGTTAGTCCAGACACTACACTGCTCTCTGGGCCTCCAGGCCTCACCTCTTTCTTGGTCAAATCAAAGAACAACAGGTTAAGAAAGAGCGACATCTGTCCACCACTTCTTTGCAGAGTCAGGGTGAGGAGCCTGGAGCCCTGGCTTTGGCACCCTGTAGCCCCACTGAGAGTACAATAGGCCAAGCCAAGACTACTACCTGCCACCTAGCACTGGGTGTCCCTGGAGACAGCTGACATTTGTGCAGTGCTGCAGGTGGTACACAAAACATCACCCACACTCATGAGACATTGAGTCCCTCTAAACCTTAGCTGTCTCTGCCCATTGATGCTGAACACCTCATAGGAAACAGTGGCTCAGACTTTGTGCCTATTTGAGTCCAGGAGAATAATGATCACAACAGTCTAATAAACATCAGCAGCAGAGGTTAACATTTATTGCCTCTCAGCATTGTAGCAAATCTGTAAGGTAGATACTGTTATTATCTCCATTTTATGAGTATTGAAACTGAAGCTCAGACAACAGCTACTAAGTGAGCCAAACTTCAAACTCATATGAGTTTATTTCAAAGCTGGCAATTGCATCCATTATGCTGAGCTCTATGGGAAGATTCTGGCTGGCAAAGCCCCAGGGGGATTCCAAGGGGCCCCAGCAGTACCTGTGGACACCCACAAGCACAACCTTACAGTTACCCCCACTCCCTCAGGAATGCCCTGAAGCTGGGCTCGAGCAGGCCCTGGCCAGAGGTCCCAAAGGAGCTGACTGGGCAGTCCAACATGTCTACAAAGGCCCCCATCAAGCCACTCCTGAACTGGCTAGTGGCTGAGAATGTGCGGCAGGGAGAAATCCTGGGCTGGCCAGACTTCACCTGTTCCTTTGAAGGTTCGTTAATCTGGCCCTGGGCCTAGCCTTAGTGTAACCCTAGGCCCTTCCCTCCCCTAGGCCATTTCCCTACCCTGACCCAGCCATAACTCAGCCTATCCATTGCCCAGCTTGAGCTGGCACAGCACTGCTGCTGGCTAACCTGTCTCTACCAGGTACAGCCTTGACTCAGTTGCTTCTTGCATACCATCTAGCTAGACTGCCAGGCCGGTGTCTGAGCAGAGGGTCAGCATCTTGCCTCCTGGCTATGTTTCATGAGATATGTCACCCTCCCTATGCCTATATCTTTCTCTTCCTTGTATTCTTTCTCATCCTCCTTCTGGAGCAATTACCTCACCTGTGACCTGAGGCCTAGAGAAAAATCCAGTAGCAGTTAGATCTCCCCAACAGCTACAGAGAACCCTAAGGCCCCCTTCCCAGGCCTACCTGCTCTGTGAGATGTTCTTGTCTTCCACAGAAAGAACAAACAAAGTGGATTTACTGGGTCTGCTGTTGAAGCCTGGCCAGGTTACATTTGGGCAGTGGGTGCTGCTGTTTCTGAGCTTTGTCATGTTCCTGGTGGTCCTGGGACTGGCCTACAGGCTGTACTTCCTGGAAAAATGGTCACTAGACCAGGACAGCATGATACTCAGTTCCCTGCCCTCCACCTATTTCCTGGGAGTGGCCATGGAGCCCCAACAGGCTACCCGAAGACAGTGGATCCTGCTGGGCCTCTGCTTCATCCTCATGCTTTGTGTGATCAGCATAACCATTTGGATCTTCACATACCACCACAGGAAGCCTCCATGGATGAGAGCTGAATGGTAGAGCAAGGATTAGCCACCAGTGAGACTGGTGAGGCTGAGGGGAAGGAAGAAGGGGGCTGAGCCCAGGAGGGTAGGCAACAGGGAGGGGACAATCTGAAGTCAGAGTGTCCATCTGTGATTGGGTACAGCTGAGGCAGATCTGGGTGCATGTGGTGTTTTGATTGTATGTTTGCAAACTCAGATGTGAGGTCATGTGCACAGGCAACAACTCTGTGATTCTATGTGTGCCACACCCCTTCCCTCAGGGATTCAGGAAGCATGGCTTTAGTAACCTAGTAGCTGAGTTCCTTTAAACTGACCCTCAACCCACAACTGATTCTTCAAATAGCCTGGTTTGGTTTAGAAACCCAGCTATGGGGGTTGGAGGGCTATGGGACGAGGCTGGGCCTGCAGAAGCTAAGACTGTTCTAGTTAGAGAAATGACCTCATTTCAGTCCCCTTACAAAATGTCCTCAAGGAGAACTGAATATTCTTTTATGAATTGGTGATATCTAGTTCATGAACACTATAGGCCACACATCCATTGATCTGGCTCACCCTGTGTTGGGCTGCATAATGTACTGTAGTCCTAAACAGCTCTTTGTTGGCCACCTGAGATCCAAGTAGTCTCACAAACTTCCCTGTGGTTCTCCCTACCCCAGCACAGGCCCTCCTGAATGGAGACAGTGGGTAGCTGGGCACTAAGCCAGGCGTGATTAATGATTGACTTCTTTAATATTTAAACAAAGCTCATCTCCAGCCACTCTGCTCCAGAGATAGCCTTGTTCAACACACACACCTGCTGCCTGGCCGGTTGCCCTGGGGAGCAAGCACAGGACAAACAGCACCTTTCCAGGCTCAGGGGGGTGGGGGAAGAGGAGGAGAAGAGAGCTGTAGGAGGGTATCTGAGATACTAGTGTTTTAGGAATAAGCCTGGGAAAGGGGGAGACAAGTCCCTTCCCCTACCTTTTCCAACTCTTTCTCTCCAGTCTGTTGGCCACAGAGATGTCACACCCAATATTTTCAGACTCACTAAGTCTGACTAAGGCTCCAGGGGTTCTTGGTAAGCCCGACAGTTAGTGTGTGTCAGAGAATAGGGGAAACTTGAGGGGAAGCACATTATAACTAGAAACCACAGAGAAGGGGCATCGGTGCTACTGCTGAGTTGATAGGAGGACAGTCAAAAGAAGGGATCAGTTCTCCCCAGATTAAGGACCTGAGCCCCAATGTCACGAGTTCAGGGGAGAGAGGTACCAGGCTGAGATCTCCATGGTTCTTATCTCTGCCCAGATTTCTAGAAGTTTTACTGTGTTATAGCTGAGCCCAAGCACTTCCTACTCCAGCACCCAGTTCTACAGCACCTTCATTTGATACTCTGTCACTGCTCTTATCTTTTGTACTGCAAATCCTTATTTGTTCCAATGATTAGCTGTTAGAGACACACGTCAGGAGTATGTCCCTGTGTAACATTTCTAGTCAGTACAGGCACTGACACACAACAAGGACTTGGAAAACATGAATGAGTGAATGAATGAATGAATGAATGTCCCACTGCCCAAGTCTCTCCTCAGAGCTCAGCATCCCACACACTGAGCTGGTGAGAAACAGCCCCACTTTTCCTCCACAGCCAGCCCAACCCAGCCCCCAAACACAGGGGCAGCCAGAACACCTCTGCACCTCCCCAGGAGGCCATGCTGACAGTCCTCTCACAGCTACAGTGGCCAATGAGGCTCCCCCCAGGCACTGTGATTCTGCGTGTCAAATGCACACCCAGCCCAGGACCCCCAGCCTTTCACCAACTTCAGCAAAAGCCTTTCACTGATCCTCCTTGGCCATCCTTCCTCCACCACCCTGTCACTGTAAGGTTTATTTTGCCCAAATATCTCTTCAATGTTTTCAAATTTTTTTCAAAATGTCTAACTGCTTAAGGACTTGGTTGCCCATCAATAAAATCTAAATACTCAAAATGGCATTAGAGAGTCTTTATCAATTACCCTTTACTTCCACTACCCAGCTCAGCCTTGCTGTGTCTTTGGACCCCCATCATCCTCAGGCTTTGCCTTCGGTGCATGCTCCATTTTGAACACTTGCTCTCCTGGCTCAAAATTGGCCTTTGGACCCTCTGCAATACTCCAACCCCATCAAGACACTCAGTAAACGGTGGTTCCCTATCCTTCTCTCCAAGAAGTTTCTTTTACTACACCTCATTCCAAGCATCTGTGTCTTCTAGTATGCTCATTTTTCATTTTTATTATTTATTTGTTTGTTTGTTTATTTATTTATTTATTTATTTTTGGTACTGGAGATCAAACTTGGGACCTTGCGCTTGCGAGGCAGGCGCCAGAACCACTGAGCTAAATCCCTGGCCCTCCAATTTTCAATCAGTATTCACTTTTCAGTGGTCACTTACTAATAGGTGGTTTTAAATCTGCCCTTTCAAGCTATGTCTGTATGCTAAGAGCTCTCAGGCCTCTAACAAAGGGGCCTTATTGCATATTTCATGTACATCTTCCTGTGTCTTCTAGCCCATCCTCCCAGGACTGGAATGTGGCTGGGTTTGCCACCACGAACACTGCATGTACAGTGGGGCTCAGCTGGAGGATGTTTGTCAAGGGCCGACAAAAGGCCTGAGTGTATCATTGCCAGGGTCAGGCCCAGAGGTCAGACTCTGAAGAGAGCCTTTAGCAAAAGACCACCTGTGGTCCCACGCACCTCCTTCTGCCCGGTCTCCCAATGCTACCCTGTATTAGGAAGGGAAACTGCCCTTCAGTACCCGAAGGGAGTCCAGGAGAGACTGAGGCCTCAGAGAAGTGCTACCCCATCCCAGGTCCCGGTCTCGAACTCCACCCTCTAGGATTCATGCTGGGCCCCAGAGAGAAATCGCTAGGACTCCGCGGACCCCAACCGCCCCGGCATTCAGCACCACGACGCGGACAGCTCCCAGGCAGGAGCGGAGGGGAGGAAGCGCGACGGGCTGCGGTCTGGGAAAGGCAGGGAAGGGCAGCCGAGGGCCAGGAAGGGGCGGGGAGGGGGAGGGAGGCGACGCGGGCGGGCGGGCGGGGCATGAAGCCCGGCGGCCCTCCCCCGGGGCGGTGCCCACCCGGAGTCGGACGCTGCTGAGCCCCAGGACTGGCAGAGATTGCTGGGAGCCGGGGGCGCGGGTAGCTCCTGGTTGGGGCCACGGAAAGATGCCGGTCCGTAGGGGCCACGTCGCACCCCAAAACACTTACCTGGACACCATCATCCGCAAGTTCGAGGGCCAGAGTGAGTGTGTGTCGGGGTGGGGATTGGGGCTGGTCCAGAGTCCTTTACTTAGCTTACGTTGGGGCAGATGGGCAGTGGGTGCCGTTCTGAATGCAACATCCTTCGCTTTGAAGCATCCTGAACACCTTCTCCATACTGGAAAATGGGCAGAGTGCAGCTCCTACCTCTCCCCACCAGTTTTCTTGGTGCCCAAGCCCTGACTTCCTTTTGTAACCATTGCTCTGCTTCCCCCTCCAGACTGCTCCCCCCAACTGTAAAGGTTTCCTTGGCTCCTCCCCTTCCCCTGGTGACCCTGGCCACGCTGCTTTTCCCAGATCTGACCCCCAACTGGTCACATCCCTGCTGTCTCTTCTGGACCTTCTTCACTGTTTTCAAGTCTTGAACCTTTCTCCCACCTCACCAGCCCTCCTGGCCTGCTCTTCCCGCAATCCCCGGGACTGACCTCCCTTGCTTTACTGGTCACCATCCTCCTCCCTCCTCCTTCACCCCCACCCTTTACTCTCAGGAGGAATAACTCCCCGTGATCTTGGTCCTCCTGCCTTCCCCCAACCTCCCCTCCTCCCAGCCCCACTCCATCGTCCAAATTCCCTTTCCTGCTGCCATCAGTCCCTATAATCGTTGCCCCCTGCTGCCCAGTCCAGGCTGCCAGGGTCTCCCTACCTCTTATCTCCCACCCCAGGTCGTAAGTTTCTGATAGCCAATGCTCAGATGGAGAACTGCGCCATCATTTACTGCAATGACGGCTTCTGCGAACTCTTTGGCTATTCCCGAGTGGAAGTGATGCAGCAACCGTGCACCTGCGACTTCCTTACAGGCCCCAACACCCCAAGTAGTGCTGTGTCCCGCCTGGCGCAGGCCCTGCTGGGGGCTGAGGAGTGCAAGGTGGACATCCTCTACTACCGAAAGGATGGTGAGACACAGTTGGGGCAGCGGTTCAGCAGGGTAGGCATGGCTGGCCCCCTCTCTTGTCCCGCCAGACGGCCCGGGGAGGGCACTTACGTAGATACTAATGGACCTGTTCACATCCTGCCCCTCTCTGGGCCTCTGTTTCCTCATTGGTAGGGGGAACCCATGCGTTTTGGTTGCTCTGCCATCTGTGGTGTTTTTCAGGGGCTTGGGACAGGCTTTCCAGCACCCAGTACTGACCTGGGGCAGAGCCTCCTACTCCATCATCCCTCTGCTTTGTCCTCGGTCTCCTGGCTACCCACTTTGTCACTGTCAGCCCCAGCTGTCAGGCAGCTGGGATGGAAATTAACCTTCCCTCATCTGTGTGTGTGTCTGCTCTGGGGATTAGGGGAGGAGTCACCCCCTCAAGGCCTCTGCAGCCAGGGAAGGTATGGGAGCTCCTGGTTGGTTCATCCAGCCCCAGCACTTTCAGAAGGTAGGATCTGGAGTTTCCCCCAACCAAGAAGCTCACCTGGATGGAGTTTGGGTTGTTGCTGCTACCCAAACATATTGCAAGCAAAACTGGCATCAGTCAGAGGCTTAGGACATAGTTTTTCCTTTGAGTTTATCCTCCCAGGACTGCAGTGTCCCCAGTGGAGCTGGGAGAGAAGTGTTGGTGGGAACTAGGATCAGAGCCTGAAAGTCCTTTGGAAATTACCAGGGTCAAGGTCCACAGCTAACCTAGTTCTAGACCAGAATTACCTAGGGCATATTTTCCAAAACACACCTTTCCTAGAGAGAGGTCAGAAAGCACAAGATGAGACTAGGCAAGTTTATTTGGAAAAATGTCCCAGCAGTTCTGATGTTGTGCTAAGTTTAGGAACCACTGGCTTAGATAAATCCTTATGGCTGTGGAAGGGACTTGTCAAAGACCTCACTGCTAGGATCCAACATGAAACTGGAGCTGACGTCTCTGGATCCTTCCCTGAGAGATGTCTGTTCTGAGTAATCCCAAGAGGAAAGAAAGGACCTAATTCCCTCTGTCCTTGGAGATAGGACTTTTGGAAAAGGAAGCCTCCAGAAGAGAGAAGCCCCCATGGAAAACAGCATGAGGGCCAGCAGAGTACAGAAAAATGCAGATGCCTTTGAATTGGGACTGATGGGTTCTGAGAGCCCAGGTTCCAGAGGTCTGGTGTGTGTGTGTGTGTGTGTAACCTAAGTGTGAGTGTGAATGTGAGAATGTGTGCCTGTGTATGTATGTATGTGTGTGCAATTGTGAGCTTCTGGGGGGGTCCTGACTATTGCCATGGCTGTCCCTTGCAGCTGCCACCCAAAATAGCAGCAGGTGGGAAGTGATGTGGCAGAGGCAGCAACCAGGGGACTGGAAAGAATCTGGCTTAGTTTGGCAGTACTCACAGGGTTAATGAAGTCAGAATATTTTTAAAAGCTGTGACCTCACCTCTTCACATCACTGCCGGGAGGAGGTGACAGTCAGGGGAGTGATAAGGGTCCTGGAGGAACAGGATGGGACAGCAGGAAGTGGGGGGAAGCAGGTCCTATCTGTTCCCCTTCTTCATCCCAAAGCTCTACCTGTACTCCAGAGGGTGGAAGCTGATCCCAGACTCCTGGGTATGTCAGGTCAGGGCTCTTGGAGTCCCATCAGCACCCTGCAGTTGCCTGGGCAGGGAGCAGAAGTCAAGGCCAGGCCTTAACCCAAACCCTGCCGAGGTCCTCCAGCTATCAGAAAGGACCCAACTAGAGTTAGAGGGTGGCCCTGGGTGAAAATGGAAATTACCCTGGTGCTCTATAAGTTCCAGTCTGCCCCTGCCCCACCCTCGGTCCTTCCTTGTCCTGTTGCCCAAACCTCTGACCATCTGGACATTCCTGAAATTAGCCCAAAACCCGGAAAAGGGACCTTCCTGGTCTGCATTACATTAAGAGAAGGATATAGTGCTCAGATAACGTATGTTCACATTATGGTCCACTCTGACCACGTGATTCTTTAAAAAAAAATCGCATTCACATACATCTTACAGTCTTGCTCAGGGACATCCTAACGGTGATTTATTTCCTTCCCAGATTAGTGTTTTCTCTCTACTCCACCCCCTGACTCTAGGGAGCTGGGAGGGGGTCCTGAACAGATCTCTAGCTGGTTTATTTATAATCCTCTTTGCCTCTAAAAGGGTAATCCACAGCATAAAGTCGGCTCAGAGGCTGGGGCACTTGGTAAAAATCATCCCCATGAGACCAAGGTCAGAGACCCTTGAGAAATCAAGGCTCTTCCCCCACCTGTATTTGCTAGGAAAAGTGAGAACATAACAGACAAGGAGGAAGGGGGACTGTCACAAAACTAGGACAAAAGAGAGTCTAGGGGGAGGCATGGAGAGCACTGAGATCCCCCCTTACCCCCGTCCCACTGGGCACTTGCCAGAGGGCCCAGCCCTGCCAGCCTTTACTAGGTCCTCTATTCTGATGAGCCTAAACCAGAATCCTGTAATCTGCAGGTCAGACTAGAGGAGAGCTGGGGCTTTTCAGTCCTCAGCTCCACTTAAGGAGTTCAGGGCAAGGCTGAAGTCAGGAGCTACTGCCTTCCCCCTCCCTCCCCCAGTGTTTTCCACATGTTCATCTATAAATGCCAGGAGGGCCAAGCTGGAGGCAGCCTCCTTGATAGTGCCACCCTCCTAGTGGCAGCTTCTGGCAGAACCACTGGTCCCTGAGGGCTCAGCATAATGCTAGGTGGGGGTGTGTGGAAAGAAATCAAAGTAAGGCTGTGGAGGTAACTCAGTGGTTGAGTGCTTGCCTAGCCTGGGTAAGGCTCTGGGTTCAACCCTCAGTAGGGGAAGGCAATGAAGAGGCTAGGTGAGGGTCAGAGTGGGGAGGGGATGTGGGCAGTGAGAAGCCCCAGGAGGAGACCCTGGAAGGGAAAAATAGGCAAAGATTGTGGTTTCTCCTTCAGGGACAGGGCAAAGACACCAGAACACTACCACTCCTGGGTACAACCTAGGGCACTCACCCATTTCTGCTCACCCAGACAGTTACTTGTGGGCTCTGAGTCTTGGATAAGCAAGGACAGCTACCCTGGGGTACAGGGAGAGAATGTGCTAGACTCTTCCAAATTCTCACAGCCTCCTGTCTGCCTACCCCAGAGGCAGCTAGCACAGGAGTGGGATGTGGGGTGCCACGCACTGACCCCCACCACTCTCCAACCCTTACTGCTGTGATGGGCCGGTCTTTGGTCCTTTCCCAGTCTGAGTTTTCAAGCAACAGCATAAGTGGGTGGGAAGACTGGGCCTTGGCAACTCCCACCAGCATAGAAAACCTAGAAGTCTTTCTGCTCTGCCCCCTCCCTGCCCCCTACCAGGCCAGGTCTCCCCAGTACCAGAGGGACTGGGACACAGTCTGGGTTTAGAAGCCTCACCACACCCCAGGCTGACTAGAGTGAGTATAGCAATGCAAGCCCAGGAGTAGGTCAAGCCAGGCAGGTGGCCTGTCCTCGGTGTGGATGTCTCCCCTGGGCCCAGGCAGCAGCTGGCAGATGGCTGCCTGGTGCCTGGGAGTCCAGGAATCTGATCCAGGAGATTCCTGCTCCTGGGAGGAAAGTGGGAGGGAAGAGAAGGGAGCCTCAGCTGTACCCCAGCTCTGATGGCAATGAGAATGGGCTGGGGAGGTAAGCAGTAAATAGGGAGTTTGAGGAAGAGTGATTCTAGTGGCCCCCAAAGTAGCAGTACTGCTGCTGGCTGGCTAATGTGCCTTCATATTTACACATGTTTTCTTTCTTTTTTTTGTTTTTTGTTTTTTGTTTTGGTACCGGGCATCGAACTCGGGACCTTGCGCTTTCAAGGCAGGCAGCGGAACCACTGAGCTAAATCCCCAGCTCTCGAACATGCTTTCTTTACTTAATTAAAAAACACCTGGGAAAGATGAGACTGACCCATATCTGCCTTTGGGAGTAAAGCTCTGCCTTCTGATTTGCACGGTCACCTGAGGCCCCTGTCCCTGAGGATCCAGCCCTTTGGTCCTGATACCTGCCAGTAGTTTGAATTGAAGGACATAGGACCCCTGTGGAGTGCCTGCTCATAGGGTCTGTTCTGTGGTATGTGTCATTTCAGCTGATTTTGTTCCATTCACCGGTGGAAAGGTAGCAAGAACCTAGAGCAAAGAGAGGGAACAGAGACTGGCCAGAGGCACAAAAGAGCCAACAGCTATGTCTGGGCTGCCCAGGAGGTGGAACAAGTAGCATGAGGGGCTTGCCCTGGCCTCTGGTGGCCTTTTCCTTCTCTCTGACCCCCAGGACACTGCCCTACTTGCTCCCTGGTCCCAGCCTCTGCCTTGGGACCCTGTCCCAGTACCCTCCTCCTAGACAAGGCCCTTCCCTTTGCCAAGCTGTTGTGTGCCAAGGGCCCAGTGGTCCTTGCTCCATGTTGCCTCCCAGCCACAGCAAATCAGTTTCTCAGAACCCCAGGCTGTCACCTAAGGACCTCCTGAGGCCTGATACGCCTTCTGGCTCTATGCCCAGCACTTAGTGTGCTCCCAACAGCCAATTCCTGCCAGTGTCAGGGAAGGGGGCATTTTTGTGGTATGGCATTATGGGAGCTCAGCCCAGGGCCAGCCAGACCAACATGGGGGTAGAGTGCCTCATCTCGCCTCCCCACTTAATCCACCCCCATCGGCTCAGCTTTAATTACAGCAGAAACAAACCTTGAGGCTAAGCCCTGAACCGAGGGCCATGCCTGGACTGGGACCGATGCTCCGTCATCTCCTAATGGGCAGCTAAGTTGCTCTCCCCATCTCTGCCCTGTGGCTGGGGCTCTGGCTGGCCAGCTGCCTCCGTCACTGCCCAGCAGTTCCGGTCACTGTCTAGGCTTCTTCTCTCCGATAGATCCCCTTAACTTGACCTTCACTCAGCCTCCTCCCTAGCCAGTGGAGAAGACGCTTTCAGTGATCATCCCCTGCCCCTTCCCAATGGTGTTTACAGCCTCCAGCTTCAGATGCTTGGTGGATGTGGTACCCGTAAAGAATGAGGATGGGGCTGTCATCATGTTCATCCTCAACTTTGAGGACTTGGCCCAGCTCTTGGCCAAGAACAGTAGCCGAAGCCTGACCCAGCGCCTGCTGTCCCGCAGCTTTCTGGGCTCTGGTGAGTGAGTAAGGTGGGCTGCGGGTGGTGGCAACCAGGACAAGCTGGGGGGACCCACTGGAGCAGCCAGTGCCCTGGCCCTGGCTGCTCTGACCCAGGCCCTGGTTTCAGAGGGCTCTCACGGCAGGCCAGGTGGACAGGGGCCTGGCCCAGGCAGGGGCAAGTACAGGACTGTCAGCCAGATCCCACAGTTCACGCTCAACTTCGTGGAGTTCAACCTGGAGAAGCACCGCTCCGGCTCCACCACAGAGATCGAGATCATTGCTCCACGCAAGGTGGTAGAGCGAACACAGAACGTCACTGAGAAGGTCACTCAGGTGCGAGCCTGAAGGGCAGGGAGGGCAGGGCTGTGCCAGGCCCTCTAGGGTTCTTTGGGGCCTTGACTAACAGAGAGATGCAGCTTTTCCAGCCCCCTGCTTGAGTGGGTTTTTTAGACCTCAAGGCCTCCCCTGAGGTCATGGCCCAGAGGCCAAGCTCCTGGAGCTGGGGGAAGCTGGGGTCAGTGGGGCCTATGAGAATGCTTCCTCTTAGGCCTGAAGGAGTTGGGGGTAGGAGGGAGTGGGGCAGCATGCACAGGCCACCATCGGGGGACAGCACATATCAGGGCCATACAGAAAAAAGGAGAGGAAGGAGGGATGGCAGGAAGCCCCCAGCCCTGCTCTTGCCCCTTGCCTTTGATGTGACAGCCACCTCCCCCTTCAACATGCACGCAGGATCCTCCTGCATGTCAAGAATAACTGATACCTCTGTTATTGTTGAGCAGCCTCCTACAGACCCATCCCTGAATGTCCCCTCCCCATGCTGCCCCTTATTGTCCAGCTCAAGGTAAATGTCCCTGAGTCCACTCTCCTTTATTATCATGGGCTTGATGGCCTGACCATTCCAGAGGGAAATATAGAGTTTTACTTGAGGCTCCAGTGACCAGAGTCCTGGTACTGATTCACTGTGAGACTTTGGAAAGGGACACCCCCACCTTCTGGGCCTCGGGGCTCTCTTGTGCTAAGGCAGTTAGTTAGATGAAATGGTCTCTGAAGACCCATTTGACATTAAGTAGTGGCAGCCCTGGAGACAGTCGGGTCCACAGGGAGGCCTAGGCTAAGGCTGAGCAAGGGAGTGCAAGCCTTTTATGGGGGCTGTCCCTTCATGGGGGCAGCCCTCTTCCTCTATGCCCCTTTCCATCAGAAGAACAGTCAGTTCTGGAGCCAGGTATGAGGGAGACCACTCGACCGCTCACTGAGTTCAAGGACCCTGGGGAAGGAGAGAGCCCAGGCCAAAGGGATGGGCCTTCTGAGATCAGACAAGGTGAGAAAACCCACAGCTGCTAACACCGAAGCCTTTAAGTTGGTACAAATGTGGTGGCCACCATGGTGAGGGACTGTTGGATTGAAGACTTGTCTCTGAAGATGGACAGGCCTGGCTGGGGACCATGGTGCCTGCCTCTATCTTGTTTCCAACCCTAGCCACTCTTGGCTTCACTACCCATCCAACATGGGCCCTAAGGCCGGGGTGGCACCTGACAGAGCTCAGAGAGGACTGGCATGGCCCCAAACAGGGAAGTCACCTTGACCTCTACTAGAACTTTTAAGTGCCTAAGGCTATGATCTTACTCCCAGGTCCCTGTACTCTGAAGGCCCACCAGTTCCAGATGTTCCTGGGCAGGGTGGGCTTTGCCATAGAAGAGCCTTCATGCTGGCTTCAGGGGCAGTGGGAGACTGAGTGTCAGAATGGGTCCCTATCTGGGATCCTGAGGAGCTAAGGGCCTGAACACTCTTCTCAGCAACTTGGAACCTTCTTCCCTGTCCCTGCAGCCTCCCTCTCATTCCCCAAACAGGCAGGGCTAGAGAATGGCCTGGCTGAAGGGGAGGACACTGACAGCCTGGGGTGTGGTGGCTCAGCTTGCACTTGGAAACAGAGCCCAAGCTGCTAGTACTCATTCAATGACCAGTAGTTGAGAGCTCATGTGGGCTTCATGGTGGAACACAGTGAAGAGCAGGCAGGTTGACACAATAGCCCGGCTGAGCTGATAGCCCAAGGAAGGGTAACTAGCTGATCAGGGCTGCATAGGGGGCAGGGAAAAAATTTAAAAAGAGGGTCCCAGTCTATGTGGGGTCAGAGGGGCTTCCTGAGGAAGTGAAATATGAGCCAAGGCCTAAAGGTCTAGCAGAAAATTACTGGGGGGTGAGGACACTGTGGCCCTCACTGTAGGGTTTGGATGTCAGATCAAGGACCTCTGGTGGAAACCAGCCCTTTGATGGAACTTCCTTCTTGTGGTCCTATCTGCTAACCGATCTGGTCTGTAAGGTCAAGACCTCACACTGCAGATGTTCTTAAACTGGAACCTTCCACCGGACTCCATCTGATGGGAAGGGGTCAGCAAAGTGGTCAGCCCCTCAGGGTCTCCCCTTGGTGGAGTGATACCTGACACAGGATAAGGAAGCAGGACGACTGACCATGTAGAACAGCACATGCCACCTAATGCAAATAGATGCATCTCATTTCATCATAGCATCCACGCACAATTTGTTGTGCTTTGTTACCCGTTTTGCGATGTGGGAAGTGAGAAGTTACAAAACTTGCGCCAAGGCACACAGATAGCAATTGTCAGACCTGGGATTCAACCTTGGAGTCTGGCTTCAAAACCCATCCCCTTCCTAATGTCCAGTCTCTTTCATTTCTCCTACTGGGCAGCCAGGCAAAGCCTGGGCATGTTGGGCCAGGCCCCCTCCATTGTCTTGGAGGCAGGAGTAGGAGGGGAAAAATGGAAGAAGCTCCACTGAATGTATTGATTCAAACTCCCCTGGACATACGTGAAACAGCTGGGGTTCCCTGGTGCCCAGGGCCTATCAAAGATCCAGATTGGCTCTTTCCGTTGGCACCTCTAAGTGTTGGTCCCAAGGGAAGGCCTTCACTGGTCCAGGCCCCCAGGACCCTCAGAAATGGAGGCTATTCTAGGGGTAACCTGCTCCCTTCAGGAACTCCTACCACAAGGGGCTTCCCAAACCCACCAGAGAGGATTGACCATCAAGTTACCTCCTCAATCCCAGCTCTTCTCTGAAATATGCCCCCAGATGACTCACTCCAGGATGGCCTATTTCTGAGGGGGCTTGTGAGCTTCAAACTAGGATCACCATGGGACAGAGCTGGACCCTTTGTCCTTTGTCCCCTCTGTCTGCACTTCCTCCCAACCATCTGTTCCCTTTTCCCTTTTCAGCTTTTGTTACCCACCCTTTCCCATGACTCCCTTCATACTCCTCTCCCCAACATCTGTCTCACTGGCAGTGGTCACCCCCACTGACCACTCATGGCCCTCACCACCAGGTCCTGTCCCTGGGTGCAGATGTGCTGCCAGAGTACAAGCTGCAGGCACCACGTATCCACCGTGGGACCATCCTGCACTACAGCCCCTTCAAGGCTGTGTGGGACTGGCTCATCCTTCTGCTAGTCATCTACACAGCTGTCTTCACGCCCTACTCAGCAGCCTTCCTGCTCAGTGACCAGGATGAGTCACAACGGGGGGCCTGCGGCTACACCTGCAGTCCCCTCACCATGGTGGACCTGATTGTGGATATCATGTTTGTCGTGGACATTGTCATCAATTTCCGTACTACCTATGTCAACTCCAATGATGAGGTAGTCAGTCACCCCCGCCGCATTGCTGTCCACTACTTCAAGGGCTGGTTCCTTATCGACATGGTGGCTGCCATCCCTTTTGACCTGCTCATCTTCCGCACTGGATCTGATGAGGTGAGCCAACTGCATCCAGGCCAGCAGCTGTGGTTGCTTCCTGCACCCCAGCTCTGAGGCCGCCCCACCTCACTGCCCTGGATACAGAGAGACTCTGGCACTGGGTACCTTTGCCAAAGCGAGAGGAGGTGGAATGGAGGCCTCAGGCATCTGTCATTTTCCAGACCTGCAGAAAGAGCAGCTGATGGGCTATCCCTGTCCGAGCGGGCCAGATGAGAGGAGCAGGCTACCACCAGGTCCTTCACTGCCCCAGAATTTCTGCCCCTTCTGGGACAGGCAGTTCTGTAGTCTCAGTCCCTTACGTACCCAGGAGTTAGGAAGGGGATCCAGCCCGCACCCCCAGTGCAGCCTCATCCCCTTCATGTCCCTAGCTCCTCTTCGGTGCTGGCTTTGCTTCCCACGGGTGACATGAGGGCATTTTCATGCTCTTCTCATAGCTTTTGGTCCCACTTTACTCTCCTCCCCTATGTCCTCCGAATCATCTTTCCACCCAGATCCACTCTGTCTTCTGTTTCAGTCACACCCCATCACTCCAGCTCGTCCAGCAAGGAGGGTCCAGCAGTGACCTGTCACCCCCCACCCCAGCAAATTATCCACAAGTCATATCCTCTCCACCCCTGCTTCCTGTGCCTACACTGAGTAGCCTTCTTCCCCACCTCCGTCCCTGTACGCAGCAGCCAGCACAAAGTTCAGATCACTTCCCTGACACTGTCACTCACCCCTCAGAATCTTCAATGGCTCTCACACCTTCAGAATAAAAGCCAAGCTCCTGATAGACCCTGAGGCCCACCGGAGCAGCCCCGCTCACCCTCCTAGCCCTGAATCTCACTGCCCCACCTCTTCCCACTCTGCTCCGAGCTGCAGAGCCACGCTCAGTTTCCCACTTGGGCCCTGCAACTTCAAACCTCATGCCTCTCCCATGCCACCCATGTGCCAGAAGTGTCCTTTCCCCCTCCCTCTGCCTGGAAACCGAGCCCAGTCTCTCAAGACTCACGTGTTTGTCATTTCCCCTGTGAACCCTCTCTGGACCTGCCCCTGTGGACTTGACCTCCCTTTCCTCCATGCGCCTAGTGGACTTCTCTCCTGCAACCAGAACACTGTTCTGAGCTTTAGGCTAAGAACACTGTAAGGACCCGCACTATATCCCACTGCCAAATGCCTGGCCTAGAGCAGGTTTCTCATTACCGTTTGTTAAATGACTATGTGACTGTAGATTTGGATGAGCAGATATGAGCCTGAACACACCCTTTCTCTGCCCCACAGACCACAACCCTGATTGGGCTACTGAAGACAGCAAGGCTGCTGCGGCTAGTGCGTGTGGCACGGAAGCTGGACCGCTACTCCGAATACGGGGCAGCTGTGCTCTTCCTGCTCATGTGCACCTTTGCACTCATTGCGCACTGGCTGGCCTGCATTTGGTATGCCATTGGCAATGGGGAGCGGCCCTACCTGGAGCCCAAGATCGGCTGGCTGGACAGCCTGAGCACTCAGCTTGGCAAGCACTACAATGGCAGTGACCCAGCATCAGGCCCCTCAGTGCAGGACAAGTACGTCACAGCCCTCTACTTCACCTTCAGCAGCCTCACCAGCGTGGGCTTTGGCAATGTTTCACCCAACACAAACTCAGAGAAGGTCTTCTCCATCTGCGTCATGCTCATTGGCTGTGAGTACAACCTTGTGCTATGGGCCTTGGGAATTCTGGTTTTTGGCTTTGAAATAGACATAACATACAGTAACAATGCACATTGTACTCTCATCCTAGGTGCGCAACATGTTTATTTTTGCACATGTGTACAATCAGTTGTACACAGACTATAACACTCAAACTGCCCTTGCGATAAGCCAGGCACCAGGACTAGCATTTGCAGAGCCTAGTTCAAAATGGAAATGTGGAGGCCCTTCTTGAAAAATTATTAAGAATTTTGAGAAGGCAACAACAGAGCTTTAGCTCAGGCCCTGTGTGGCTGCACAGGCTGAAGCAGACCCTGCCAGCCACTCCTCTAAGCACTTCTCGACGCCATTTCACTCCTTCACGAGCCCAGTTTACTGAGCAGGAACTGAAGGCCCCAACGAGCCGGGAAGCACACAGCTAGGGAGTCTCTTGAGCCCAGGGCCAGGCCAAGTGGCCAACTCCAAGGCTGCGCTGTTCTCCGCCCCTGCACCCAACTTCCTGCTTTCCAAAACACCTGGTTTAGGAACTCGAAAGCAGTGTGGAATTTTACACATAGATTAAGTTGTCATGTTCAGAGTATTTAGAGATGTGAAAGCCCAGAAAAACAAAAACAAGGGGGGAAAATGGGTGAAAACAACAGGCCAAGAGTTTTCCTATTATAATTTAACAACTTGAAGGAGAAAACAAATATGAACAACAAAAAAATCCATTGCCCTAGTTCTTTCTTCAAAGGAGCTTGGCCTCAGGTCCGGGAAAATGCGAAGAGGCCCAGGGACAAGGGCAAAAAGCCCAAAGGCCTTTGTCCCCATGTGTCCTGGCACTGTCCTGGTACTTCAGACCTCGCCCTGGACTGAGGGTCCTCACCAAGGGGCTCCTGGGAGAGGGAGGCCTGGAGTGGTGTGGCCTGGTTACCAGCTCGCGCGGCTCACTCCCTGCCCGGTCCCCAGCGCTCATGTACGCCAGCATCTTCGGCAACGTGTCCGCCATCATCCAGCGCCTGTACTCGGGCACCGCGCGCTACCACACGCAGATGCTGCGCGTCAAGGAGTTCATCCGCTTCCACCAGATTCCCAACCCGCTGCGGCAGCGTCTCGAGGAGTACTTCCAGCACGCCTGGTCCTACACCAATGGCATCGACATGAACGCGGTGAGCCCTGGCAGCCTCGTTGCGGGTGGAGCAGGCGACGACCTCAGGCTAACCCCACCCCCACCCCGGGTGGGAAGAGGTCAAGGTCTCGGGGTGCGGGGTCCCCAGCCCCACCCCGGCCACGGCCCGCTGGACTCGACCCCGCCCCGCGCAGGTGCTGAAAGGCTTCCCCGAGTGCCTGCAGGCAGACATCTGCCTGCACCTGCACCGCTCGCTGCTGCAGCACTGCCCAGCCTTTCGCGGTGCCAGCAAGGGCTGCCTGCGCGCGCTCGCCGTGAAGTTCAAGACCACGCACGCACCGCCCGGCGATACGCTAGTGCACCTTGGCGATGTGCTCTCCATGCTCTATTTCATCTCCCGCGGCTCTATAGAGATCCTACGCGACGACGTGGTCGTGGCTATCCTAGGTGAGTCAGGCGGGACGGACCAGGCCTGTGTTTCGGGACAGGCTGTAGATGCCCCACTTGGGCCACTTTCTTCCTAATGAGAAACATATCTCCTCTATTGACCAGATGCGGGCCTAGCACGGGTCTCAGAGAGCTCTATACCCAGCTCCCAGAATCCTTAACACAGCCTTCTGCCGTAGTTCCCATTTTCCGGAGAGGAAAGTTGAGGCTCATGGAGGTCATGCAATGGCCATGCTGGAATTCCCAGGCTTTGTGTCTGACTCAGAAGCCCAGGCAGGTTCCTTGCTACCCTTACAAACTTGGGGAGATTAGGATGACAGGCAGAGAACGCCCTGAAGGGCCAGTCTCATTCAGTGCAACTGCACAGATAGCCGATCACTTTGGAGGAACAATATGAGCACTGGGCAGAGGGGCAGACTTGGCTCCTAAGTAGTCTCTGCCACTTACCTGCTGTGGGGTCTAGGCCAAGTCACTTTACCTCTGTGGGCATCACAGGGTCCTCGTTTTCCTTGCCTTCCTTGTTGCTTCAGCTTCACCTCCAATCTCCGATTCCAACTTCAGGCCTGTCCGCCTTTGGTCTTCATGGCCTGGCTCACCTGCAGCCCCTGTGGACGGGTTCCCCTAGCACTGCTCTGCTCATTCCTCTCCCCCCCGCCTCTCCTTGGTTGGTGGTCACCAAGCACTAGTTCTCTAATCTCTTCTCTATACCCTTGCCTGGGCTGGCTCCTTTCTCCCTCACCTGAGCCAAAAGGACCCCAGAGCTCTGTCCAGCCCCAGTATTTCCTTAGATTAGAATATTCCATTCCTTCCTGGCCATGGGCACCCTGACATTCCATAAGCAGAGCAAGCTTAACATATCCCAACCCAAAACCATGACTTGCCCTCAGAAGCAGCCCCTTTGGCATCTCCATCACTGTGAATAATCCCCCCACAGCCAGGGCTGGAATCATGTAGGGAAGCATCCTTCCCCTTCCTGCCATCTAGTCAGCCACAGAGCCCTCCATTCCTCTCTTGGTACCTCTCCATCCCACACCTGTCTCTTTGTCCCTGCCTGGGTCTGGCCTTCATCATGTCTTTCTGGGAAGGTGTCAGGAGCTCCTTTTTCTGTGGTCTTGCATACAGTCTACTCTTGTGTTCCATCTTCTGCCAGGAACCTGAAATACACATCTGCACATATCCCTCTTCTGCTCAAAATCCCTCAGTGGGCCAGGGATGGTGGGCACACCTATAGCCCCAGCACTTGAGAGGCTGACACAGGAGGATTGTCTTGAGTTCAAGGCCAGCCTGGACCACATAATAAGTTCAAAGCTAGCCTGGAATACACAGTGCATGCATGCACAGTTCTACCCAGTCTGGCCACCCTGAGTTCTGCTACCTATCCCCTGGCACTTCATGTTCCAGCCATACAGACTATTTGTTCTCTAAACTTGACATATCTGTCATACCCCTGTACCTCTGCATATGCTGCTACTCTATAGTGCCTACCCTGTGCCATCTGGCAGGCATCCTTCAAGACTGAGCTCAAGCACAAGTTCCTCTATGGGACCTTTACTCATTCCCAGCCTGCCTTACAAGTGCTACCCATGTGGGGAGGGATAACAATTATTATTAATAATTAGAAAGTTAGTCCAATTTAAGTTTAAGTTAGAAATATGAAATCCTCTCATTTTGTCCTGAGTAGAAATAGACATTAGGTCATAATCCTTCATCTACTGGAAAACCAGTATGTATCACATTGCCCAGATTTCAAGTTTCAGGGTTTCATGTGTGACCATGGTGAATCCCTTCTCTCTCTAGGCCTCAAGCCCCTTCTCTGTGGGTGACCTTCCTTTCTGTTCTTTTAGGGAGTCATGCCCAACCTCTGTCCTTCTATGCTGAACCATTAGTATCCTCTGCCCATAGGTCACCAGGTTGAAGGGGGTGGACTTTCTTAGGGGGAGTGGGAGTCAAAGTAATCATGCTCTGTGGCATCCCAGGCCCTGGCATCTCTGTTCTCAGCTCTGCCCGTGCAGTATAACCACATGCTATTTCTTCTGCTCAGATTGCCTTTCTCCTGTAGACCCGGTTTTCCTTAACTCTCTCTGAATTTCCCTTTCTGTGTAAGACCTACTCCCTGCCCCAACCTCCCCTGGCGGAAGGAGCCCCTTCTTCCCTCATGGCCCCACAGCTGTTCTAAGTGTCTACAGTTCATTTTATAAATCTGTTGGGTGTTTGTCTGCTTATTTGACAGCCTCTTCTTCATGTTTGTATCCTGTCTTAGTTACTTTCTCATTGCTGGGACAAAATACTTGACACCCACAAGTTAAAAGAGGAAAGATTTATTTTAGTTCAGTTCGTAGAGGTTTCAGTCTATAGTCAGCTGGTTTTAAGGCAGGGCAGCATGGCAGAAGGGCATCACTGAGAAGAAACAATCCATGCTATGGCAGGGAGGAAGCAGTGAGGCTACTTCTTTCCCTTTTTTTATTCCATCCAGGCTGCAAGCCTATTGGTTGGTGCCACCAACACCCAGAGTGAGTCTTCCCTTTACAGTAAATTCATCATCCACAACCAGAACTATGCTAAACCAATCAGTGGACTGATCCATTATCACACACCCATGATCCAGCATCACATACCCATGATCCAGTCAATTCCCCCAAAGCCCCACCTATGGGCACATGAGGCTTTGAGGGGAAATCTAGATATAAGCCATAATGTACCTATGACCAGCACATCACGTGGGATAAGGAAGGCTCAGTATCTTTGCCATCCACCCTGAGTACCAACCATGTGTCCACCCTGTGACCTCCAATCTTACCAATATCTTTCATTGACTTAGTCCAGTGCCTCATGCTTTTGGGGCACTTTCTTGAGAGCCCAGTGGGTTAGGCAGGAAAGACATGGTTGCACCCATTTTACAGATGAAGAAACTGGAGTTCAGGAAGGGGAAGTGACCTCCCCTGCCGGGGCCATTTTGATACCTGAACCCTACAGTGAGGAGCAGAAAGACAAAGAAACGGAAGCCTCAGAATCCTTGAATCTGTTGGGAGGGTCCCTTGTACCCTGTTCCATAGCACTAGCACCTTGAACGGAGCAGGAAATGTTGGGAAGGGATCCTTTGGTGTTTCTTACTACCTCCTGTCCCCTGGATGGGAGTGGGGCAGTGTCAAAGAACACGGATAAGGCCGGGGATTTAGCTCAGTGGTTCTGCCACCTGCTGCGTAAACTCAAGGTCCCAAGTTCGATCCCCAGTACCAAAAAAAATAAAAAGAACACAGATAAAAGAAGGGGGACTCTGATGGAGGAAGGGTGGTTCTGAGGGTCTTGGAGACAGCTAGGGGACCAATGAGCCCAGGACAGGACCAGCTCTGAGGGCGCCTCTGTGAAGCTCAGAGGACAGAAAAAGGACATTCCCTCGTCCTCCTCCCAGACAATCTGCGCATACAGCCTTATCCCAAGACCCTGATCCTAAGTACTAGGCCCTACCCACCATGATCTTTAGTGGAGGGTCATATTCAAGGGATGCTCAGGCAGGTTCCTCATAAGGCGGCTTGGAGCCAGACCCTGGAGGGACCACCACCCCTCTGGCTGGCAGGAAAGAACGACATCTTTGGGGAGCCTGTTAGCCTTCCTGCTCGGCCGGGCAAGTCCAGTGCAGACGTACGGGCCCTGACCTACTGTGACCTGCACAAGATCCAGTGGGCAGACCTGCTGGAAGTGTTGGACATGTACCCTGCCTTTGCAGACAGCTTCTGGAGTAAGCTGGAGGTCACCTTCAACCTGCGGGACGTGAGTCTGAGCCAATGGTCCAGGGTGGGTGGTGGCTCCTCTGCTGCGGTCCCCTCCCCCAGTCTCTCCCTTTCTCACCTCATTTGCACAGGAGACGTCCTGCCTCATTGGGCCCAGCCTCTGGGAGCCATCAGGTGGCCCAAGTGCCCAATGGCTAGACACCAGGGCAGGAGGGATATGGCCCCACGGTCTGGGTCCTCTGCAACCCCAAGATACCTCCCAAGTCTCATAGTGCCGGGAGGGTGGGTAGCTGTTGGGACACTGTTGAGGACGCCTCAAGGAGTGGTTTGGGGTCATATACTTGGTCTCCTCAGAGGATGCTCCCCACGGGCCACATGGAGGGAACATTCAAGAAAGAGGAACCAGAGGGGAGCCTCTCCCATGACCTCCGTGGGGGTCTCCCTGTCACTGGCCCAACACAAAGTCATTGTTTTCAAACCTCTGTTCACTTATCTGTCCACCCTGATGGTGAAGAGCCTACAGGAAGCTTCCCAGAGCTTCGCTAGTGTGTGTGCCCAGCCACCTGATACCATTTTCTTATCTGATTATGACAGGGGCCACAGAGGGGAGCAGAGATAGGGAGGAACGAAGAGGCCCTGCCCCAGCTTTGGCCTCTTACTTGATGCTCTTGTTCCCTACAAGGCAGATGGAGGTCTCCAGTCATCACCCCAGCAGAACCCCAGCAGACAAGACCACCAAGGCTTCTTCCTCAATGACAACCAGTCAGGTGAGCACAGCCAGCCCCTGCCCCATCTTCTGCCCCTTCTTGGTCTTCTCCATCCTGCTTTCCCTGGGGAGAGAGGTCCCCAAGCCCCTAATTAAATAAGAGGGGACTTCCCCTGTGCTTCCCCTTTTTTCCCCAGTCTCCCACCACTGATGACCTGTGGTCTCAGAGTCAGACAACCAGGGCTCACTGTTTGCTGGGTGCTGCTCCCAGGGGTAGGTACCGGCCAGGCCCCTGGGATTCTACACTAAGGTACTAGGTAACCCCCTGGGTAGCAGGTCCGAGCAAGGAAACCAGAACTAGAAATCTCCATTCTAACAGCCCCTCCCCTCATAAGCTGGGTCTCCAGCTCCTTTCCAGGGCTACAGCCTCTCGGGTCCTGGAAGTCCAACCTCCATAGTAGCAAGACCTCATGCTCCAGGATACCCAGGTAAGGAGAGATACATCACACACTGTATTCCATGGTAGATAAAGGGACAGCATCACCTCTGGGGAGAAGGAACAGGCCTATGGAACCAGCTATGTGGAGCAGAAGTGTCCCTTTGCTTCTTGCAGGTGCACCACCATCCCTGGGTATCTCAGATGCATCTGGCCTCTGGCCTGAGTTGCTGCAGCAAATGCCTCCAAGGCACAGGCCACCAAACCTGCAGCAGGGGCCAGACTGCTGGTCTCAGGAGCTAGGCTCCAGGCTAGAGCAGCTCCAGGCCCAGATGGACAGGTGAGGGCTCCTTCTGGCAAGGCTGGGGAGGCTGCAATGGGCAGAAGTAGGCTGTGCATGGGCGCCCCCTCCTGGTGGGTCTGGAGAACTGTTCAGTGTTGTGTGGGTTTTAGAATGGGGTCTATATAGTAGCAGATTTTTCTATCCCTATGTCACTAAGCACAATTCTTTAGGTGACTTCTTCCAGCAAATCCTGGAATGCCAAGGAAGCTTCATGGGGGAAGAGGGATATCCATGTGCAGAAATAAATCTCACAGAGCCTTGGAATGGGCTGTGAGCAGAGCTTTGGTGGCAGAGACAGCTTAGGGCCAGCATAGTCCTGGGTTCAAATTATGGCTCTGTAACTCACCAGCAAGAGTGTGGAAAAGTTACTCAACAGCTCTGAGGCTCAGTTTGCTCTTTTGTGCAAAGGACACAATTAGAATAATCATGTCAAAGCATCATTAGAAGGATTGACTGTTGTGGTCTCCATGCCACTGGCATCATCAGAGTCAGGGATATGTTAAGGGGAATTTGGGCAGAGGCTGTGGATCCCCATGAGGAAATAAGTTCAGGTAGGTACCAGGCTGCCACTCTACTGAGAAGGTACAGCATGGAGGCTACAAAGTTGAGAGCTGCCCTCAGGGCCTGAACTGCTCTTAGAAAACTGACCCTTCAGAGTCTGTCCGGCAGATTGGAGTCCTGCATGTCGTCAGATCTCAGACACATCCTGCAGCTGCTTCAGCAGTCCATGCCACAGAGCCACACCAGCTACATCCTGGAAGGCCCTGCCTCAAATGACCTGGCCTTGTTTCCTTCGGCCTCAGCAACTCAGAGTCCAAGGCCCACACTAACCCTGGGCCATCTGCCCCCTGCACAGGTGAGAGGTGAGGGGGTCTCCAGGGGATTCCCTGGAGACAGGTGCCTGCCCTCCCTATCCCCAGCTTATTCTGAATGTGGCGTCAGGTCCAGACCCTCCGTGGCTCCTGAACAGCAGGGGCTTCTGCTCTCCTCCTTTATGATTCGAGTCATCACGACAGGGTTGTTTGGACAAGGTGGTAGCAGAGGCTCGATTGTAATCCCAAGCCCCACAGCTGGGGCAAGAACCCTGAGGTGTGGCAGAAGGAATTTCATCCTTCAGGTCAGAGTTGGTTAACTCCCATCCTGGCCTGGGAGCTCCCTACACAGCATTCTTCTGTCTTCCTTCCCCTTCCCAGAACCTACCTTATGGTGACCTGAACAGATGTGCACCGAAACACAGGAGTTCCTCTTCCAGGATGCCTCACCTGGCTGTGGCAGTAGACAAAACCTTGATGACGTCCCTGGAACAGGAGCAGCCTGAAGGGCTCCTGTCACCCCTGGCCTCACCTCTGTGTCCCCTAGAGGTACAGGGACTTGTCTGTGGTCCTCGCTTCCCCTCCCTCCCTGAACACCTTGGATCTGTTCCCAAGCAGCTGGAGTTCCAGAGATATAGCTCAGATCCTGGATTCACAAGGAGTTAAGGCCACTGAACCCCAAGATAAAAGCCACCACAAGGAGATTAAAGGTGGCTGAGAACAGAGTTAAGGATGTTGGGGGGAAGCAGACAGGCCCCAAGACAGGACTCTGAAAACCATTCTCCTAGAGTAAGTACAAACTGCTGACCCAGATGAGCCCAGGTAACACAGAGGCTCAGGACTTTGACCAGCCCTCCTTGGGAGCTCTGCATAGACAGCACGTCCTGCCAAGGGTTGGGGAGCTCAGGTGCAGAGGTAGGTTACAGGATAGAGAGATCAGTGAGGGAAGGAGAAGTTTCTGATCTTCCTTGTGAGTCTTGCTCTGGGCTGTGTGTGTGATCACTCCTGGCTCAAAACCAGTCACCACCTCAAGGTCCAGTACCAAGGGACAGGCTTGGACAGACCATCTGCCAAGAGCCTCTGACTGGGCTAGAGGTAAAGGTGTCCTCTGTGGTAGACATGGGGGACCAGAACTTCAGTCCTTAGCCCCTTCATCCCTGATAGTCCCATGACAATATGTGGGTCCCTTGAAGGCAGTAGAATGTCATGCAGCTAATAAAATCAACATATTTCATGTTGGGTTTGATGTGTAATTTATCTGAGGGTCATCAAGTTCTTGACTGCGTTGTGACCTTCTCAAGGAGCTAGATAGGGGCTCACTCTTCACCATATCCAGCAAGTTGGAAACCTGAAGGTGGCTCATCTGGGGCTGTTAGCCAGATGGGTGAAGGGAAGCAGATGTGGTTTGGTGGCCACAGGGAATCGTGACAACTGAACACTTGAATAGCACTTACTGTGTGCACCATTTGACTGCAATGCAGATACTAGTTTATTTAATCTAAAACAACTCTGAGAGGTCAGATGATTATCTTCATGTTAGAGATGTGGGATCAGTAGTGGAGAGACTAAGAAACTTAACTGAGCATGAGGGGGACTTTTGGGATACTGATTTATTCTGTTTTCTGATATGGTGCTGGGTACATAAGTGTGTTCAGATTGTGAAAATGTACTTCTATAGGTAAATTACACTCTAGTTTAAAACAAGAACAAAAAAAGAAAGGGTGCTGAGTATGTGGGTGTTACAACTGTAATGCCAACTACTCAGGAAGTGGAGGCAGGTGAACCACAAGCTCAAGGCCTGTGTCCTTCTCTCAAAATAAAACAATAAAAAGAGCTGGGGGTACAGCTCAGTGGTGGAGTGCTTGTCTAAATATGCGTGAGGCCCTGAGTTCAATCTCCAGTATCCCCACCAAAAGAATGTCCAACACAATAGGAAAAGAACATAATTTCACCCCAAATGGTCTGGTCTGAGAGCATGGTGAGTGTCAGTCTGCTGAAAAGGGCTGACGTCCCTAAAGTAATTGGTCACTGGTATTTAGTCCTTTACTTGGTAAAAGAATTTAAAAAATGTATATCCTCTCTCACATTGTTGATACCTGAAATACTTCATTGATAAATTTAAATAGTTGCAAAGGATGTAATGTCCAATGTGTTGTAAATATTAACACTATTTTACTCCACGCTAATACTGACCTACTTCCATCCAAACCACATAGTGATTTTTAATATTGATCCATTTCCATCCAAAGAGCATAGTGATTTTAGGGCCTCCTGAATGCTAGGCAAGTGCTCTACCACTGAGCCACATCCCCATCCCTTTTTTAAATTTTGAAGCAGAGCCTCACTAAGTTACCTTGCTTGGCCTTGAACTTGTGATCCTCCTGATTCAGCCTCCCAAGTAGCTGGGATTACAGGCATGTGCCACTGTTGTGCCCAAGAACATCATCCATTTAATAAATATCATAGTTTAAAAATTATATTTAGACTATTGTGGCAAAGCAGAACAGCTCAGTGCCGCAGCGACCAAAATTTGAAGACTAGAGAATGCAATGGTCACTCGAAGAGGTGGAGAAAAACCTTCATTACACCAGTGGGCTCAGTGGAGTTGTACTCTGAAGTCTAAGCCTTAAATTAGAAATGAGAACCTCCTTATATAGGGATCGACAGGGTAGGTGAGCATGCTCACTGAAGCAGAGGAGCGGAGTTACAGAACATTCCTGAAACATGCTGGGTATGCATGCTCACTGAAGCAGAGGGGCAGAGGTACAGAACATTCTTGCCAGGGGGCAGAGTTTAACAGAACATTCTGGTAAGGGGACGGGGCTAACGGAACATTCCTGAGAGGGGCGGGGCTAACGGAACATTCCTGAGAGGGAGGAGCTAACGGAACACTCCTGAGAGGTTACAAAACATTTTGATATATTGGGCAGGAGCTGCTGCCCAGAAGCACAAACTGTTACATTTCTGGAACAAAACATTCTGCGGAAACAAACAAAACAAAACATGGAGACAAGGCAAGGGCCTGTCTTACTGTATAGTATTGCTCTATCGAGACAACATTTAGCAAGGTGTGGTTTTTTTTAAACCCTGTTTCTTTCATTTAAAAAAAACTTATCTGCAGAGAAAACTTGTCCATGTAAGTAAGCAGGCCTTTAAAAGGGGGGAGCTTTATGTACAGTATTGACTCCTCTATTCTTTGAATTCTTTATAAATTATCTCACATTTATCATTATTTTTAATAATTTCTAACAATCCAGTACAAACCTTCAACTTTGTTGAAAGCCCAAAATTGGAAACCACCTAAATTTATAACTATGTCACCTAGATTCAGATCTTTCCTCATTTCAAACTTGCTACACAGATTCAGGGATTGGCTTTGCCTTGAGGCCCACTGAGAGGTAGGGACAGGGTGGAAAGTGACAAAAACTTCGAGCCAAGCTAGTTGGGTTGTTGCCCACTGAAAACCAACCCTAGAATTCGGGAACATTTCTAGATTCTGAAGAACAGCACGGAAAGACCTGACTCAGGCCTGCTGCTCGGTCCCTGGCATAACTGCACTTCGTGTTAAAAGTGGCCATGGGGCAGGAAGATGGCTCCCGTCTGACATCTGGCAATGCCAGACCTCGGAGCTCTGTGAGACGAAAAGCAGCAGGTCCACCATTAAGGCGGAATTTTAACTCGACAGCGTGGAGATGGCTCTCAGAATAGCAGCAGCAGAGAGGAAGATAGGGAAAGTCACATAGAGGTTTCATTCTCAGGGACTTGGCCTAGAACATGGATCCCCGCTGATCGCCTCTAGGTCACGTAAATCCCTATTCACCCTCACAGCGCCGTTATCCACCTGATTGACATCTTGGCCAGCCAATGACATATGGGGTTGTCAAAGCTCCTGCCTCAAGGAGTTGGGTGGGGAGAGCAGTTGGAATGACAGACATTTACACCAGTAACGAGGAGTTTTCAGAACTATGGCCGCAATAACCAATGAGATGAAGGAATAGCTTCAAGGACAGGTCAGGCAGCCAATGGCTGGCGCCGCCGCAGAGGTCGCGTGGCTTCCGTTCCAAGAGAGCGGGGCCGCATCCCAAGCGGAAGGTGGTGGTTGTGGGTGCCGAAGCTGGTTTGAAAGTGGGGGTCGGGCCGCGCGGTCGTTGTTTGTCGCCTTGGCCCCACTTCCGGGCTAGACCGTTCCTGCCTGCCCCTGCCCCGCCTCCTTTCTGTTCCCTAGGTCCCAGTCCCGGCTCTCCGCGGGACTCGCTCCCCGCCTGCCCCCGCCCGCTGTCGCTTCGGACGGCTCTGCGGCCCCGCCGCCACCATGTCCCTGCACGGCAAACGGAAGGAGATCTACAAGTATGAAGCGCCCTGGACCGTCTACGCCATGAACTGGAGCGTGCGGCCTGACAAGCGCTTTCGCCTGGCTCTGGGCAGCTTCGTGGAGGAGTACAACAACAAGGTGGGCCGGGCAGGGGCTCGGAACCCATCTGGCGGGGAGTAGACCCTAGAGCGCCCTTTCCGGGCCGGAGCCCAGAACCCAGAACCCTGCACACTGGCCTTAGCGCCCCAGAGCGGTTCCTCTGTGCCTGGCCCTGTGCTGAGGGTTCTGTACTCTTTTGTCTCAGTTAATCTGGGCAGCATTCTTGAATAGCAAGGAAACTGAGGCACAGTGTTGTGACTTCCCCGTCGCAGGCAGGGATTTCGTGGTAGTAACAGATTTCAAACCCGAGCTTATCCCAAAGTTATGCCATTTATGCCACCCATTCCCACAACTCCTGCCGCATTGCTTCAATTGTTGGGGCGGAGAACGGAGGAAGGAGTGATGACTATGAAGGAAAAAATGAAGATATTTCATTTGGTGGTCGCGCACTCCTGGCCACACTAGATCTGTTAATACAATTTATTGCATGGACTTCCCCGCCTCCTACTTTAACCCCTCGTTACTACTAGTAGACTCCCAGTGTTACTGCCAGGATTGGCCTTTCTGTTGCTTCCTGATATCCATTCTCTTCAAAGCAGTCTTGTTGGAAAGTGGCCTCTAGTGTGATCTTGGCATTGTTCTTTGAGGAGAAAGATGACACTTGATCTAATCTTTTCTCGGCTTCTTTCACGTTGATTTGCGGTCTTTCGTAGTAAGTTTTGCTCTTGTTGAATGTCCATGAATTTGAGAATCCTTCATTGAAGCATTAGTAGAGGGGGAAGCTTGTAGTGCGAGGTAAATATTTTTGAAAGTTGTTGGGAAAAGTTTTCTTTCCTTTATTTCAGTTTCTTTATTGTATTAAAGCTGTGAATGATGGTGATCAGAGCAACTGGAAACTTCGGCTAGTGGTGTTTAAAGCCGGTATTTCTTTTTACTGACATGAACATCAGATTTAGGAATAAGATCGTGGGCAGTGACAAGCCTGATGCAGGGGTGAAAACACCAGGTGGTCTAGGATTGAGTCCTGTCTGGTCCACTAACTAGTTATGAGATGTTGAACAAGCCAGTTTTATTATGTTTGACCCACAGCTTGCTTCAGGAATTGGATTCTGTTTACATGTGAAGGTCTGGTAAAAAATTTCTCCTAATATTTTAGGTTTGTTTATGGTTTTTCAGGAGCTCACCTATATCTCTGGAATAAGTCCTAACTTTGGTATCCCCTTTGAGTTCACTCAGTCTTTCACCAAGGTTTTTGTGGTTTTTTTTTTTTTTTGGTACCGGGGATCGAACTTGGAACCTTGCTCTTACGAGGCAGGCAGCAGAACCACTGAGCTAGATCCCTGGCCCTCTGGTATCCCCTTTGAGAAAGAGATGAAAGGCATGAATTCTCATTGCCCAGGCGTTACAAATACACAAATCCCAGGATGCATACATTGATGCACCCTGACCCAAGCAAGACACAACTTTATCCTTTTCTCTGATCCCTTTTATTGCCATGGTGGACAGCAAAACTGGGAATGGAATTAAAAGACCCAGTGTGAATACTTTGTAAGATTAAGACCACTAGAACGATTATTTAAAGATACATGTGAAAAATAAAACATGTCTTTCAAAGGGCTAGAGTCTTCATACAAATCAATTTTTTTTTTTCTGTAAGTTCCTGTGGAGTCATTGGGTCAGCAGTAGTAGTCTCTTAAGAGAAGAGAAACAGCCACAGCTAGACTGCTGATGGAATCAATGGAGTGATTGGTGTCCAACTTCAGTTGCAGGAGCTCTATCCCCAAGTTTGTCCTTTCAGGAACTGTATGGAAATCCTTCTCTGTGCCAGGCACATAGTTATTGTACCCTTCGTAGTGAAATGCAGACCAGTTAACTATATCTTAACTCACATGATGGAGGCAATGTGAAGTCTTAAAACTATTGTGCTTCCATTTATCTGTAAGTCAGGGTTCTTGCCATATGTGTGTGCCATGATGGACTCTTTCGGTAAGCTAATGCTGACAGACCTCTTCTCATGAGTATGTTTTCAAGTACATAAAATACATAGAATTCCAAAGGAAACGAATTATAGGGCCGGGGATTTAGCTCAGTGGTTTTGCCGCCTGCTGCACAAGCGCAAGGACCAGAGTTCGATCTCCGGTACCAAAAAAAAAAGGTGGTGATGTAGTAATAATATACCTTTAAATTAACTCATTAAACTAAATCATACTATCCAGTGTAATTACTATAGTTTGAAGTAGTGAAACAGTATGTTTAACACCTATAATGTGATATGAAAAAATAGTGATTCTGTTGAAGACAGAGTCGTAGAAACTCATAGTGCTGTGTGTAGCTGCCTCCATTCATAATTAAGGAAATACTGTATTTGAATTAGAAGTTAGTGAAGATATGAGTGTAATTTTCTAGTTCAAGTTCACAGACCAGTTAAGAAACCTTGTTTTACAGGATCTGTGTCCAGGAAGTGATGGGCAATACATCCCACATTAAAGCAATGGTTCTCAGGCTGTTTGGGGAAATTCTGCCATGGAGGTGGCAGACCTCATAATTTAGAGGAATTTAAATAATTAGAATTTTTAGATCTTAGATTTCTGCTTTCTGTGGATAGTGAATGCCAGCAAAGGACAAAATGACAGCAAATTAACATTGATGAAAAAACCCCCAAATAGTTCTTTTTTCATGTAAACAGATTGACTAAGGAAACATGATTGTAAATTTTAAATTTTAGTATTAACATGATTATGATTTCCTATTATAAAATTGTTCATAGGTGGTCCAAAGAATTAAATCTGTAAGATTTCAAGAATTTAACTTCCAGGTGTTCCCTGATGAGAATAAATTTAGGAATTGTTGCAGAATAAAGAAACAGATTCTATCACCTAGGCTTGGAATAACAAGCCCTGTTATTGGTGTTGTGGTTTACATTCCTTTTGGATGCCAGAGCAATAGTTTTTGGTATTAGAAGAATGGTTCTCTAAATTTTAGTGTGTGAGAATCCCCTGAGGGACTTGTGCATTCCTGGGCTCCACCCCTGAAGTTGACAGACACAGATGGTCTAGGTGGCCTAAGAACATCGTCCTAAAGTAACCTTTGGTCTGCATGCTTCTGAGTAGTGGTTCTGCCCTTCCATCCAGATTGACCTGTATAAAAGCTCTATTGCCGGGTAGCTGGGGTTGAGGGTTTGTTTTTTTTTTTAAGGTATAGAGATTGAACCCAGGGCCACATTCATGCTAGGCAAGTGCTATACAACTGAGCCACATCCCTATCCCTGGGCTGAGTTCTAAATCTTGCCTTTTCCCAGTTTTGTGTGGCTGTGGGCAAGTTATACTCTGGGCCTCAGTCTTCTTCACTTGTAAAACAAGGGTAGTTAAGTATTGAGTTTACCTGTCTTATAAGGTTGTTATGTAGATGATACGAGTTAATGTATGTAATGGACTTAGATATGTAATGGTATGGAGTAAGTCATTTAGAAATGTTAGCTACTTATTATATGTGCTGCCGAAGCAAGCCTGATTGTTAGCTGTTTAATCATCATTGTTATCACACCTGTAATTGAAATATATACAAAGAGAATTATATGGGTATTAGGTAAATTTGAATTTTGTGTTTTCCAGAGAGGAATCAGGACCTTAAGTCAGAAAGGTATCTCCAAGGGTCATTATGTCCACCCTCTCTTTTAAAGATGATCCTTTTAATCAGCTATTGTGTGGTCTAGCGGCTTCTTATAGTCAGACTCCTCTAGTTCTATCTTACTTTCATACAGTAACTCTAATATAAGAATTTGGCATTTCTCCTAAGGTGGTTTATTTTGTTTGATTTTTGCAGTAGTGGGGATTTAACCCAGGATATTTGCTTGCTAGACAAGTGCTCTACCACTGAGCTACATCCACTGGCCTTCTCCTGAGTTTTGATAATATCTGCAGTCCTGGAGCAGGTGGATTTTTCTTCTTCTATTGGGAAAAGATGGATAGCAATCCTTGAGCTTCTCTTCCACTTAGGTGCATGTTAACTAACTTGCCACTTATGCTCTGACATCTAGCGTCTAGAGAACATTTTTTTGAGGTTTCTAGAAGAGAGATTGTATTTACACTTGATAGTTTTAAAGTATCTGGATGTGACCACCTTGAACCTGCAGTACATGCAGGTGAACATCTTCCTTGTCAGTCTGTGTTTCTTCCTCTGAGTTTTTTCTGGGACATGGTCTCAGTATGTTTCAGGCTGCCTTGAACTTGTGATCCTTCTGTCTCAGCCTCCCAGAGTGCTAGGATTACAGACATGTGCCACCATGCCTGGCTTCTCTGAGATTTTTTAATGCAATTACTTTATATATTAGGTAGATAATTATTTGGACAGTGATATATGGTTTTTCATTTCTTAGTATTTGTGCCAGCCCTTTAAGATTCATGTTTGCTTATTAATTGGACAAATATGTACAAGTAATTAAACACATGTACATAACTTTACTTGGAAACCTTCTGTAGCCTTTGTTAGCAAATGAGAGATTCACAGCAATGAAGAGAATATTTTAGCACACAACAGTCTTTTTGGCAAATATTTATACATTTACCATGTTCCTTCAGTCCTTGATCTCTTGTCAGCAGGGGAATTTAAAAGGTGAAAACTCTTGTAGTTTTAATTTTCTCCTTTTTCTAGACAGAGAGAGGACTAGTTCCCCCAAAGGACCACTGAATCAGTTGGGGGTTTTTTTCCCCTAACTTTATTCACACACACTTAATTGAGATGCTGTGATTAAACAAAAAATGAATCTGCTCTGTAGGTAGTCTGGCCTGCCTGAGGCCTTAATGATTGGACTGACTGATTATGAGCCAGGAACAAGGATTGGAGTGCCAGAATGCATCTTGAAAGTTTGACAGAGCAGGACTCAGGTGCAGCAATCATCAGAGAATGGCTTGAAGAGAAGACAAATGATAAAGACCAGAAAACGCTGGCTTATACCTTCACGATATTGCTTTGGCTACTTGAGTTATAGTAACAATTGTAAGAAAATGGTCCAATGTCTGGAGTGTTGTGTTGATTTGGAT